TTCATTTTTTTAATATTTATATTAATATTAATTTAGGTATGAATCCTGATGACTTTAATAAGAAGCGCTATATACCTTAAATACTTTTACTGCTTATTATATAAGCTTATAATCTTTTTTTTCTTTTTTTTTTTTATATAATATATAATTAAAGTTTAAATAGCTTTAGCTTTATTTTTTAATATAAATATTATATACCTTTTATTTTTTATTTTATTTTTTTACTTTTATTTTTTTATATAATATCTTTTTAATAAAAGAAAAATACTTTATATAAAATTTAAATACTTAACCTTTTAATAGCTTTTATAATATAAAAGGCCTTTTTAAATTAATAATTATAATAATAAGTATAATAAAAAAAATAATACCTTTATACTTATAATTACTTTTACTAAGTATTATTATAGCTATACTTTATATTAGCTAGTATATATAATTTACTATATAAGCTAATAATTTTATTATAAAAAAAGATAGTTAAAATATTAAAAAGGTAAAAACTTTTTATATTTTAGCTTTAATATATTATAAGCTAAATTAATTAACTTAATTACTTATTTTATAATACTTAGCCTTTATATAAATAAAAAGGCTTAAAGCCTTTTTTTTAATTACTTTTATAAAAGTTAAGTGCTTTATTATAAAGTAATATTATTACTTTAGCTATTTTACTAAATATTTTATATATATAAAATAAATATATATATAACTAATTTAAGTAATTAAAGGCTGCTACCCTTTTTAAATTATTAAACTAATTTTAATACTTAATATTTAGCTTTTATTAAAAGGATAAAAAATATAATAAGTTATAAGGGATAAGTTATAAAGTATAAAAGCAGTGCTTAAGTATTAAAAGGCATTAAAGGAAGGAGCGTTAAAAGGCATTAAAGGAAGGAGTATTAAAAGGCATTAAAAAAAGGAAATATATTTATACTACTATTTAAAAGCTTCTTTAATATATAAAAAGTAGTAAAATATATAGTAAATAAAGGTATATTAAAATAGTATTAAATATATTAAATAATAAAATAAATAAAGCTATTACTTTTTTTTTTTTTTATAATTATTACTATTATTACTATTATTTTTATTATTTTTATTATTTTTATTATTCTTATTATTTTTATTATTTTTATTATTTTTATTATTTTTATTATCTTTATTATACCTTTTAAAAAAGCTAACTTTAAAAATAAAAGTAAAGCTATTACTATACTTAAGCTTACTTTTTTTAAAATAATATATCTTTTATTATCTCCTTTTATTACTTAATACTTAATACTAACTTACTTATAAATAAAGCCTAAAAAGAAAACTATATTAATAATAATAGTAATAATAGTAGTAATAATAATAGTAATAATAATAATAATAGTAGCTTTATAAAATCCTTTTTATAAAAATTATATTAAAAGCCTTATTATAAGTAAAAAAGTAACCTCCTTTAATACTTATATAAATTTAAATAATAACTTTAAGTATTATAAGCTTTATTATATAAGCAGCTACCTTTATTATTTATAATATACTTTTTTTTTAAAAAATAAGGCTTTTTTTACTATTAATATAATATAATTATTATAAGCTTCTGCCTTTTATTTAAAGACTTAATTATATTATTAATAAATAAAATAAAAAGGTATATTTTAATTTCTTATTCTTATACTTATATTAATAGCTAAGTAAGTAATAAAGTAATACTATACTGCCTTTTATTTTATAATTAATATACTTAATAATAATAATCTTACTTTTAAATTTAATTTTAATAATAATAATAATAATAATAATAATAATAATAATATAAGCTATAAAAAGGCTTATAAGGCTTAAAAAACTATAGCTAAGTATATATTTTAAAAGTAAATGCTAATATTAATAAAAAAAGTGCATTTATTATTATTACTTAAGTTATTAATTATTTTAATTTACTTTATTTAATAAAGTGTATATAGGAATAGAATTATAAGTTTATATTCTTTTAAGCACTATATTATAATATAAGGCTATTTATAAAGCATTACTATAAAGATAGGATATTTATTATTTATTTAATAAGGCGCTAAAGTTGCTGCTTAGCGCAGCAGCTTTACTTACCCTTATAGATGCCTTTAGCAGGCATCTGACTTATATATAATACTTTAATCCATGTTAAACATAAGTGATAAATCAACCCCAGCATGTAGAACAAGGTCGAGACGTGTATGTAGACTGGGTAGGACCAGACACTACAAGCGACGGCTTCATGTATTTCCGCTGAATTAATACGCTCTATGTACGCGATTCAGGGATAACGTATACCGAAAATTCCATCAAAGATCCGGCGCAGGACGTGGCAAGGCTTGAAAGTTACATCACGACTTGGTCAACCTTGTCTTTAAAAGTGTAAGCATACCTTACTTCGTCTTCAGGTGAAATTCAAAACCAGCCGCATGTTTCTTTGTGAGTGGCTATGTGGGGGTACTGCGAGGCCTTTGCGGTTCTGGAACATGCTTGATTACGTCCAATCTCTGGCATAGTGGTTGGTCCCTTGTAGCGAGTGTTGCCCCCGTTTTATTGTGATGAACAACTTATTATCAGCTGATGAGCCAATCCATACGTCGGGCTTCTAGTATTCCAATTCACTTGATGATGAGTCTCATTATCTTACATGAGGCTGATCTTACTGTGTTCAAGAATCAATGTCTTTACAAGTAAAGGTCAAGGAGGTAATCCATACATTACACCGCTGTAGTATCTGCGGGCTGTGACATGATTGCAGAAGAGGGTAATACGCCAAGTCTGGTAAAGTGACTGCGAATTGTCTAGAAGCGAGTGTGTCAACTCTATAGTCCGCAGACATGTACTCGTAACGATCAGTATCATAGAAGAAACTATGCCAGACTGTAGAGGCGTTCGAAAACCACTCTGGCCACTCAAGCAGTCTTCATATTTCGGAATGTAATTGTATTCACTAATAGGCGGCCTACCTCAAACCTACGAATTGGAGGCCAGAGTTGACTACTGTGCATGATCCAAGGTTCAGTAATTATGAACAGTATGCAGATGAGCTACACCGCTGATAGTTCGAGTGACTACCGTACATAGAAACTGTAGGGGCATAGAGACCGAAACGCAGCAATCATTCTCAAAACACGAACGCCACTCGCTCCCCCGCTGCTTTTGTCTTAAGCTCGCCAACAAAGTCTTCGTCACAGCAACCATGCCCGGCGGTCCACAGACAAGGGCCTTGCTTCCATCCTCGCCGGTCAAAAGGCAGCATTTCTTTCGTCACAAAGCCTGACTCAGAGTTTCCACTCGGCCAAATACTAGCACTTCAAGACAGTAGTAATCCTTGAAGATCCCTTGATAAGGCTTTACAAATCTATCCGGCTCCTGTCGTAGAAGAGCGTCCTCTTCTGTCCGGTTGGCGTAAATAAGGCCGAGCTGGGCGGTGCCGCGGCCCCTTTCGCAGATGGTCCTGATGATCTGGAACGTGGGCGTGACGCCCGTCCCGCCAGCTACTATCCCCATCTTCCTGCACAAGTGGCGTGAGTGCCGCAACGCTCCCTTGGGGCCTCTGAAAGCGAACTCTATCGCCGACGTGGAGGTTGGCTAAGTTAGCCGTTGGTCATCTTGCCTTTGGGGCATATCTTACGAGCAGCTCCATCGTCTTGTCCAATAGCTTGTCGAACAACGACTGGGGTTAAGACGCTCAAGTCAAAACCCCCAGCAAGCTCACGGTCCTCGGGAAGTACATCAAAGAGGCACAGCATCGCCATGATTCATTCTTCCACTCGCACCGCCAAAACTGATCTCTGCCGGGAGGCTACAGAATGGCAAAGCAACTCCCTCATCATCTTGGCTCTACATTATATCAATAACTATAAGGAGCACCGGAACAGTCCTATCCGGTTCGACTCTGATTGCTAGGATACAGAGCAAGTCAAGAACCATTACTCGGGGACCTTTTAAGCCGCTTGGTTCAGGGGCCCGCGGGTGCGTTACGTATATACTGGCGCTAGAGGAGGTAAAGGTATTCTTCCTTAAGCTAGTAGCATGTTGGTACAATTTTAGGCTAGCGAAGAAGAGTGTGATGCCTTTCAGTATAATCCGGGCCAGGTGGTCGTCAAGCTGGACAACCTGTATGTGCGCGCGGAGAGACGAGTCCGAGTAGCCGGCAAAGTCTGAGTAGCTCGCTGGTGGCTAATCCGCTTTCCTTCTCGCCTTTTGAAAATCCTTACTTTGAAGTATCAGTTCATTACCGTGGACGACAACGACCCTGGTCGTTTCTCTGCCCGCTGTTGGCATGCTGTATCGGTGTTTAGGAGAATCCGCCTGGCGTAGACTCTACTCAGGAACCCAATATAAGCTTACATGCGCTCCGTATCTGACACACTATCACCGAGTTCCAGAGCCCCTGCTGCCATGACCCCGACATGTGGACTCAGCCCAAACGGCGCTCGAGCCAACATGCTGACGATGATCCGTCAGGCAAAGGAAAAAACCCCCCACGATACAAGAGGTAACATCTCCGAAGTTTCGTCCGAAAATTTTCCCCCCTGATTTACAGCTCATCAGCAAGGACATGTCAGCAATGCCCAAGGCGGAACCGAAAGGACTGGGTAACTTATCACTTGATAGCGTAGTTGTCTACCTAGGTGTCTGCAGTTACGGGTAGCTATATATGGCTGGAAGGGCTGTGTGCTAGGCTTATGATGATGGGGGTCCTTCCTGGGATCTACAGTAGGATACGATAGATCTTCTTTGTTTTTGTGTGGAGCCGGATCTTACCTGTCCGGACGAGTTACTTGTTCTGATAGTTGTTGATGTGGAACCCTGACAACTCTTCAGGTGCGTAGGTAACTGTCTGAAGTGATTGCCATGAGTGCAAACTGGAGGTTGAAGTAGTCTACGACAGCCCTTCAGTACCAAGGTGGTGAAACGTCCATCTTTCAGTAAGGGATCGTTCTAGTTGAGTTGAGAAGTCCTAGGACAATCCTGGGTTATCGGGGTAGAAGAGCTTGAGTGTAGGACTTGTAGCGTATAATATAGGTAGGTGGACAACGAAATAGTACCGATCAAACTCCTAGAATTCAGCACAGCTCGCCTGAAAGAGCCTATCAATTTCGAAACAAAATAAGTTGATTTTATCACATTATTCTTTTATTATCTGTTCTTTTTTTTTATTTCTTTTCCCCTCTCCGTCATGTCAATCCCTGGGCCCTGCAATCGGCGGGCATATTAACAAGACACCATCAACCACCCATTGAATCGCCCACCTCAACTGTACAACTTCCCAATCTAGTCAAGGTGGATGCAGCTGAGATTTTGCTCCAGTATCCCTTCATATCAAATCAAGCCTATCGCGTCAGCCATACGAGGTGCCGCACACGAATCATGCTCAGCCGCCTGCAGCACTACTCATGACTCGCCCCCCTTTGCGCTACCTTTAGTACGAAAGTGCATAAACTTGGTCAACGGCTGTAGATAGTCTCTCTGAGTCCTCATGTGCCGCTGTATGTTGCCAGCCCATGTGAAGCGATCGAGCTTCTGGACATTGAAAGTTGCTGAAGGGTGGAATTGAAGGGCTTTGGGGGGTGAAAAATAGTTCAATGGGTGGTAAGTGTGAATGCCGTTGGTCATGCAGCGAACTGAGGAATGACCTTGGCTGCGGTGAAGAGGAGTGTATGCCGATCAATTGTATCAATCATATGGTTGTAAGCAATCCTTGATCCCCGTTCGAAGGCCTACGAGTTTGCATGAAGCTTATCATGGTGTTCTTAGTGAAGGGCATGGGGTCATCGGCAATATGTGTGACTTTCCGTGCTTCACTTGCTAGATGAAACAGTTAGACGCTCACAATGCACTTGTACAACCTCAAGGCAATATAGTAGAGACCAATATCAGGAGTCAATGTTTGTTCTGTACACGAGGCACCAGATGCACCAATCTCAAGCAGAATGTTGGGGCAAAACTGTTGGTTATCGAGTCATCTCAGACGCTCTTCTTCTACATGACAACCTATGCCTGTGTGAGCATTCTCTCTAGCATCTGATCTAAGGGGTGGTATCGTAAAATAAAAATCAAAAAGGAAGAAAAAACCCCTGCGCCGATCCATGCCATGCCGTACCAGAACCAGAACGCTGCTAGGTGCTCCATATTGTACATCAATACCAAAATAGACCGAATCAAAGCCAACTGTCCTCGTCAGGAGCCATCAAAGCTAGCCGCCACCCGCTGGCCTTTGCTTCAGTTGTATCAGGTGCTTCAAACCGGTCTGGACACCCATGTACTTTCGTTGTTTGGGGTCGTACCATCCCAGGACGTATACAGCCATGACTGCAGACTTTCCCTGCAACTCTACGAGTCCATCGACCCTGATGCAGCCCCTGCTGGGTGGCTGCTTCGCGGGCTGCCAATTCTTCGTAAACGTGACAGTAGCCGCCTGAAGAGCCGCCTGGATTCGGGGATCGACCTGGCTGACGCCACTGAAGGGAGTGCCAGGAATCTCGCTGATGCCGGTGTGGACCGGAAAGCTGGACTTGTCCGGCTGCCCAGGGACCTTGACCGTTTGCTTGCCAGTGGTGCCGAGTTCCCCCTGTTCTTTGATACGGTTAAGGATGGCAGCCTGCCATGTGGCCTCGGGTGGGGGCGGTGTGTTGAAGCCTAGGGCCTTGGCAACATCTTGAGCCGTCTGTCCGGCCAATGACTTCAGGAACGCCCAAACGGATAAAGCCACTGCTTTCGGATAGATTGCTGTGTTGAGGTGGCTCGCGGCCAGCGAGTCAATTGGCCGGTCGCCCCAGAAGATGCCATCATCATCAATGATGATTCTGCGGAGAGCATTAGCAGACGTCCTGCAGCAGAGGATTACTGGCTCACGGCTTACCCAGAAACATAATGCTTGGGGGGTGGCGCAGGTGGATATATGATATCCAGCCACAGCTTCTTGAGTTTGATTTCCCGACCACCGAGTAACTGAACATATGCAGGGTTCCGTTCGACGCCTCGGCGTATCAACTCCGCAAGTCCCACTGCATGCGAAGGCGACTGGTGAGTTATGAGCTTTCCATGGGTTTGTCCTTGCATCACACTCACTTTTGATGTCCTTTTGTAACTGCGGATCTTTGTTCACAGCAATAAATGTTGCCCATTCGGGGTCGGAGCCTTTATATGGCGGCTGTCTGACCTCCTTCGTGGTGAATGGGAACGGCAGGAACAGGATGGGCTCATCCTCGTCTGCCATATCCTCCATCTCCCTCTTTTCCTTCTCCGACAACGCCTCCCACTCGTGATCTGCCCAGTCGAGTAGCGGATCGAAGACGACGGTCGCGAAGATCTGCCAACAAGCATATGCTGCTAGGCATGTGAAGACGGCTCGGCTGCACACGACATTAGCCCAGCCCAAATCCTGGTCGCATCGCAACGGCAACGACTTACTTCAAACGGCGCCGAAAGGCACCCGGCTTAGGCGGGGCAACGGGTTTGGCAAAGTAAACCGGGAGCCCGTCCGTCGCCGGCCTGTTTCGCCATGGTAGGAAGGATATCTGCCGGCTGATGGAGGGAATGCGATGGGCGGGGAGACGAGGAGAGGCGAGTGATAAGAGGTTTGCGTGTCGCGAAACGACCGCTGCGCGCCGCAGCATCCCGGCTGTGGGCTGGAGACTATGTGTTTCCAAGAGGCTTCGATACGGCAACAAGACAGTATAAGAGAACAAGAAGAGACTAAAGAGGATTTTCAAAGATACCGGCGCATTGTGAAGGTTGAGCTATTCGATGATGACCAAAGGCGAAGTTGCGCTGCGATATTACACATCTGCTCGCATGTGGTTACGCAGGGATCTGACCCGGAATATCATGCCCCCACTTCCGATGCGCCAACCACATGCAGCTTAGCCAAGCAGCTTGAAGCGTCACCTACGTACTTCGTACTTGCATCGTCGGTGCAACTTGTGACGCCGAGCCCTTTTTGCGCGCCTTCACCATCCACGACAGCTTCAACGGGAGACAATCATCATCATGAAGCTTGCGCTGGGCATTGCCGCAGCGCTTGTGGGCTGTGCTGCCGCCTCACAGCCCGCCGCCGACGTCTACGTTCTACCGAATCGCGAAGCCGCGTCTCCTCCATCCATCCCCAGCAGCGTCGCCGGACTGATTACACAGCAGCGAGCGTCATCCGGCTCAGTCGCCTCCGTCAGCGAGATTCCAGACAATGTCGCCGCCGAAACGGTGGTTTCACTGTTGAACCAATTCGGGAAAAACCGGCCCTCGTTGTTCGATGAACTCACCGAAGAGCCCAAGCAGCTGTTCGTTATGCTGGAGGGCCTGACAGGAGAGCAGATCAAGAACACCCGAGCGAAGCTGAACGTGCAGCCGTCATTTACTATCCCTGACGTGCCTTCTATCGACCGTCTGCGGTGGGCCACGGGACTTGACATGTCTGTTCACAAGGGGTCAAAGAAGGAGAAGATGGCGTGCTCGTTTGGCGAGTTGATCAATCCCCTCGAGGAGCGATGCTGGAAGGGAGATCATCTGATTACTGAGTACAATGTTCAAAAGGTACGCATGATGAGAGCAGTGATTGAGCCGACATATGCCATTTTATGGAAATGGGATGAACTATTTAGCTAACCTCGCTGCTTGCTTCAAATAGACACCGGAAATCCTCGACGATGTGATCAACAACTTCTCCCGACTGGCTTCGCTTGCTGACATTGGCGAACTGCAAGTGACCTTGCTGCTTCTGCCTTCTGTTGGCAAGTTGTCGGGCAAGAAGCAAGCACTGAACCGACGCCAAGCAGAGCGAGTCATCTCCTCCTTTCGCAAGACAGCCGCCCCTGCGGTACCGACCTCGCCGGCAGACAAGAACAAGAACGCTTTTACCTCCGCAACACCCATCCCTGCCTGCTTCGACTCCGTGGACAGCTGCGTCTCGGCGACCGGCAACTGTTCTCACCAAGGGCAATGCCTGGACAAGTTCAAGTCGGATGTCGCTGGCGGCAAGGTCTGCTTTGCATGCCACTGCCTGAGCACCCGCTCGACAGATGATGGACCGCTTACCCACTGGGCGGGGCCTACTTGCGCCAAGAAGGACATAAGCGTTCCCTTTTGGCTTTTTGCGGGCTTCACCTTGCTTCTGCTAGGAACCATATCATTGGCCGTCACTATGCTCTACAACGTGGGTGAAGAGAAGCTGCCGGGCGTCATTGGTGCTGGAGTCTCCAAGTCCAAATAAAAGGTCAATGGTTCCTTTCGAGCGATCCCCTCTTGTGGCTTACGTTATTTTTGGGTTCCTTTGTGTCCAATGGACAGGTAATGGGCGAAGATATCATGAGATGTTGGCCTGGACAGAGGCCAAGTTGGGCATGTAAGAGACGGAAAGAGCCCTCTTTTCGGGGATGAGAGGCTCTGTCATGTAATCATTGAAGCCAACGCCTCATGTTCCTTACATATGTATTCAATAGCGGTCTGTTTTTTTTTTTTATTTTTTGTTTTGTCGCAGTTTGATAGAAGACTAGGTCCGGCAACAGGGCTGAGACTCTGATTCTGAAACCAAGGGGATTTCCGAGTATCGTGATGTCGATGGTTGTAAGAGGTGGCGTTAGTGTAGTGTTGCATTGTTGACGAACATCTAGTAACATCAAAGATCAAAAGACACCCACCTGCAGCTCCGAGTACGCGTACTTCGGATTCAGCCCTTGATTTACACTACCTAGTACCTAGTAGTCATGAGGTAGGATCCGGACTTGGATCGAAGAGATCCGGCGTATGACAGTGGAAACAACACCTAAGCATCTACTAGTATCTACCCATGTGCAGAAGACTGCAATCGCGAGGTTAATCAGGGACCAACTGCCAGGCATCACAAAGTCCCTAGGTCTTCGTACCTATCACTTTCGAGCTCCAATCGGCCGACAGCCTGGACTCAGCAGTATTCCCCGTTCAAGTCTAGCCCGCCAGTGGGCAGCTAAGCATATCGAATGTGGGCGATTTGCTGCCTGTTGGAGTCTAGCGCAGATGTCCCAGCTGAGCCCGTCAAGGTGGACCTGCGGCAGGAACAAGCATCTTCAACAGCAGGAGCAACCTGGAAGCTTCAAACGGCATGAGCGAGACTGCCTGCATAAGGTTCCGAGTACCTCAAGCAACAGCCTGGGGTGAACTGGGGCTGACTGGGATTCTCCCAGCTGCACATCTGACACTTCGACAATCTTCTTTGTCTCCCTGGCCTGCGAATCTGCACCGCTTTCGAGCCTCGGGTTTGCCCGCGTCTGACCTTGAAATCCCCCGGAGCCGAGAGGCATGGCTGACGGGCCAATCACTGCCCAGGGGAGCTCTGGCTGAGGCCCCGCCTGTGCAATGGCCGGACTTTTGGGTAAAGGCCGTCCCAGCTTGAATCGGTCCCGAGCACTCGAGTCGCTCCCAAGGTCGATCGAGACGATGAACTTCTTAATAAGTCGAAAGCCCGCCGGACTTCGGTCTCAACTCCCGTGAACAAGCCATGTATCCTTTTTTGATTGCTTGCATAACTTAGCGGGCCATCGAAAGAGCACGGGAGAGAGAGAGAGACAGAAACGAAGGCAGAGGGCAGAGACGGAAACAACTTGTCTATCTTATCGTCCGATGACAAACGATGGATACTGAGCCCTCGCGATCAGCCACTAACAGCTCGAGAGCCGAACGGCCAAAGCTTCCCACCGCGAAATGGGGAGCTGCGTGTGCGCCGTGTGCGACGGCAAAGGCCAAGTGTATACGGTCCAACGAAGCGGCGGGCTCTAAATGCGACAGGTGAGCTACCACGAGACAAAGATCCCAGTCTCGGAGCCTTTCCTCGATCAAGCTTGTTATGAGGACGCAATTAAAGACAAGAAAAACATCATGTATACGACTAGTCTCTGGATCTTCGCTCTCTTGAGGATCCTGGCTTTCTGGCGTTTCACTTCAAGCTGCTAACATGCTGATTCCTTTCGTTCCGCTGTTATTGTTGTTGAGCGAACACTAACACGGTCAACGGTTGTTGTCGCACTTATAGGTGTGAAAGACTGTTGAAAGAGTGCTCCAACCAAATTCATCGACCTCGAAAGAAAAGACAAGCGAAGCCATCGTAAGTCGTCGAGTCTCGTTCATGTACTTGCCATTTCATAGCATGCTCCATGCTGCAGCTCCGGTATTATTGTGTCACCGGAGTTGTCGGCCATCTCCCCGGCCCCTCTAGACTCCAGGACTCCGCTGGAACGGAGATTTCACTGCTCCCAGGGCGCAAGTGAACCTCTGGTTCCCTCCATAAAGAAACGGAAACACACACTTTCTGAATCTCCGCTCTAACATGCCATATGTAGCCGAACCTCGCAGATTGAAGAGCGACTCAATGGTCTTGTGAGCCTCCTCAAGGCCTCTGGAGAAATATCTGGAAACCAACCCGAGCCCTCCTTTCAAGCCGATGCCAACGAAGATCCGAGAACAGAAGCATCTTCTGACCGCCCATCACCCTTTTCGAGCTCATCCAGTGCCCTTCCCAGCATATCCAACCAGGCCAATACCTGGATTATCGACCCGTCATACAACTCCTTCACTCCGAAATCATGCATTTGCCATCCAGACACTTTGGAGGCGCCGCCACCTCCCGAGTCGGACGAGGTCCTCCTTGACTTTTACCGAAAGAATCTTCAACCCGTCCATCCCTTTGTCATCATACCGCCCAATGTCTCGGCAGCCGTTCTTGCGGCGAGAAGGCCGTTTCTCATGGCCGCCATTCGGATGGTCAGCTCGTTCCGAAGTATCAGGTCGATGAGGGCGCAAATGTATTATCTGATGAAGCATATTGCAGATCATATGCTCATCCGCTCAGAAAAGTCTCTGGACCTACTCTTGGGGATCATCGTCATGCTAGGATACCAACAATATCACTGCTGCCTCCACGGACAGCTCAACAACTTGATAACCTTGGCGGGCAGTTTGATTGGCGACATGGGGCTATCTAAACCTCCGGGTGTGCATGAAAGGACGCGATTGATGGTCGTGCGCCCACCGGAATTACACGGCCGGAGTAACGAAGAGAGGAGAGCGTTCGCAGGGGCTTGGTACTGGTCTTCAGTGTTGGTCGCCCTATCACTACCCTACCCAGCAATATGAGGCTCGATGGATGGCTTACTTCTCCTTCACAGGATATCCATGAACTTCCAGCGAGTAGAACCCATGCGATACAACGGCTATCTTCAGGAGTGCATTCGACACCTCGAAGAACGCCCAGAGTATGACACCGATATTTCGCTCGTGTATCTCATCAGGATACAGAGGTTGACAGAGCGCATTGCCGAGCTCAACTCGAGAGAGGGAGCCTCAGAGGAGCTTTCCTCTGTTCCTTCAGCCCCTGTGTCGGCTTATATCCTGGCCTTTCAAAACGAGCTGAACCAAATACGCGCTTCTATGCCCAAACATCTGCAGGAGGATAGTCAGTAGTCCTGCATAACCCTTGCCTTGGAATATTTTCTCTAACAGCATGCTGTAGAAACCTTCCAGCTCTTTTTGGAGAGTGCGAGGCTGCGATTATATGAGCCTCCCGTCGTCGACAAGACCTTGGTCCGCTCCTTATCCAAGTCACTCTCGTCCGTATCGATGGCTACCGATTCCCCTCTTGACAAGATATACCAGTCAAGTGCCGCTCTCACCGCATGGTTCAACGCTTGGCTCTCTCTACCAATATCAACCTACTACTTTCAAACTACGGCAGTCGGCTCGCATCTTGTTTACGCTCTTGTCATGTTGGCCCGCTGGGCAAGACTGGCGACCCCTCGAGCAATGTATGAAGGGAAGACAACGATGCCAGATGACCCTAGTGCAAATAACCCTAACGTCGCCTTGTATAACTCGGACATGGCCAACACGCAGTGCGACCCCAGGCTGATGCAAGACAAGTGCCACATGCCTCATGAACACTTGCCAGGACGGCCCGATCTAGAGGACTCCGACCTAGCAGCTGCCGTGGCCATCCTGCGCACGCAGCTACAGACGCAGCCAGGCCTCATGATTAATATCCCGGAGATTCTCTCGGCCATCTCCAGCCGCTTCGAGCATGCCAACGCGACGTTTCAGCTATGCTCCGCAGATACAGAAAGGGTCAATAGGAACGTCTGGATGATGACTGCGCTGAAAGTCCGCATTGCGCGCGCCAAATTGGAGAAGTGGGCAGAGCTTGTGGCTCAAGGAGCTGAAACCATGCCTTTGGAAAATCGACCTGAACCTGACCAGAGAATGGCGGATTGGCAAGCGGCGATGCACATACCGCAGATTGAATGTGCTGGGCTGGACGACATGGGCCTCTTTGCCGACGATGGCTTACAGGAGCCACAGCTGGACAGCAACTGGGGGAACATGGCGCACAACTCCTGGAGCACCGACCTGCTCTCTGGCTTTGATCCGAGCGGATGGTTTGATGGATATGTGGATTGGAATACACTTCCGATGCACGCTGCGACCTCTGCACAACGATGAGCCCTCTTCATGCTTGGGTCTGCTGAGGATTTGGATGATTGACTTGCTGACGCGAGGAAATATGTCGGATAACCCATTCTTTCTACCAACATGCAACTGACCCTTTCCACAAGCCCCCAAATTTCGTACGCAGGGGGCGTTGTGATGCGATATCGTTGACGGATGCTGTTTGAATGCTGTCAAAATCTGATTCCATGGTCGGCGTTTGTCAGATACCTATTCAAGCCATATCTCGTTCTACCTGGGTCTCGTTGCTATTTCGGGTCATACTTGTATTTGCATGAGCGTTGTCGGGAACGCAGTCTTTGGCCATGCACGATATGCTGGACCTACCTATCAGTCGGACATAGAAACACGAATGTCTGATATACTTCTTTGTATGTCACCCGGATCAAACATCCATGTCTGTCGTGCTGGAAATGAATGTGACATGTCTCCGTGGGGCACCAATGCATACATACAAGCACACTCCCTCGAAGATACGAGCATCGCTGCTTTCGCGTCTCTCGCCGAGAGTCACGTTGTTCAAGTCCAAAGTTGGAGATGTGCGGGGTCTCGTCCAACCGCAGCTTCGTGAAACTCACACATCGCCAGCACTCTCTGCTTCTTCTGACCTGTTTCTCAAAGCTCATTGCCAAATATCAGCGCCATTCCGACCATTCCATTTCCAGAGACCAAAGATGAACTTTTCCACGAAGCAATACGAAGAGATTCCGCCACCCAAGGTCTCCTGCGACGTCGTCGAGCCGGCTGAAGTCTACGAATGGCTCGAGCAGCACAAGGCAGCTGGGGAAGACGCGCAGAAGGACTTTCAGCTTGTGGACGTGCGTCTGAATGAATGGGAGGGCGGGACGATTACGACGTCGATTAATCTGCCCGCCCAGTCGTTTTACCAGGCGCGAGAGATGGTGTATATGCTTTCGAAGCAGGCAGGGGTGAAGAAGGTGGTCTTTTACTGCGGTGAGTTGGCCTTTCACTTGAGGTTGTGCTTGAATGGATGGCATCTTTGTTTGGGATTCTGAGTAGGATGAGGACGCTGATGGCGTGTAATAACAGGGAGCTGTGGAACTAGAGGGCCGAAGTGCGCAGGTTGGTTCCAAGAGTATCTCAACTCAGTTGGTGAGACCGAGATGAAGGCTCTGATACTCAAAGGAGGCTTCAAAGGGTGGAAAACGACGTACAATGGCCAGATGGTGGACGTCTGTGATCCCGATGCCTGGCGCTACGCCTGGCGCTCACCGAGCAAATAGAGAAGAGAGGATTTCCCCCCCGTGGCTGCACATTATTCTTTTCTTTCTTTATTCATTCCCCCCTTCTTCCGTACTTGAGCCTCGGAGTAAAAGAACAAAGTGCCAAAAACAGTCTAGCAACAATGGACAAGACGTTTTTTTCCTGCGCATCAGATAATCCCGTGTGATCGCCCTCCTCCCTTTCGTCGTCGGTCTCCGTAAACGCCAAACGAAAAACATTGATTTCAGGTATATATTTTCCCATATTTGATCTTCCATTCCGCAGAGCTTTGCTGGTCGTTCTCTGTGGTTCAAAGGGACATGTTTCATCGGTTTTGCCTGTCGTCGCCGCCGATCCTCTCGAGAGCTTCGAGCATGACCACAGAGTTGCCGCGGATGACCTGTTTATCGTTGGCTTTAAGTAAGCGTGATGATGTTTCCTAAGGGGCGATAAAAAGGGAGGGAAAGGAGTAAAAGTCCATGGGGGGTAGAGGGTTTGGGACTTGTCGGGTGGTGTTGACGCACAACCATGCCGAGCCTAATCTTCTCTCCGCCGTCCTTCTCCTCGACTGCCTCGTCCAGCACAATGTTCAGGAAGACCTGTGCTTGTTAGCTCTGTGGCCGTCCGGTTCCTCTTCGGTATGCTGGGCCTTTTTCTCACATCGTATCCGCGGAGCACGCCGATGACTTTTCGGCTGCCGTTGAGCTGGACAAACAGCCGCTTGTCGAGATACTAAGCTTGCAATGTCAGCAAGATGGATCGGTTGAACTGCGACTGAACCAGGTGATGTTGGAAATGAAAGCAAGGAACTCGAAAGGGGTAAAGATGATTGGACTTCAGCGCTCACCTTCTTCAGCTCAGGTTGGGCGGGCGCCATCTTGAGCAATTGACTGTGGTTTGAACGTGGTAAGACAGCCGCTCTGCGACGCGATGCTGAAGCACTATCGCGAGGTTGAGAGAAGCTCGTCCGCCTGGTAAAGCGGGTCACGTGTTGATAAGATAACGGTTCTCGGGATATCGACACTCGGATCGCGAACATCAACTTCTTGCAACTCCGCTCCAAGCTCACCATCAGCATAGTCTCGAGAAAAAAATGAGCTCGTTTGGTGCGAGACGAAAGGCAAAGGTCATCAGAGTCGACTACGATGACGACGAGAGCAGCGGAGACGCGCCGCCTGCGACAGAAGGCGGAAGCCTCAAAGATGGTACGTACTGCACGCCTTGGTATTTGCGATGTCTTTGCTGATGGAGAACAAGGCTGACCTTTGGCTGGGGTGACAGACGGCGCGAAGCCCGTGTTTTCATCGAAAGTAAATCGGAAGCCGTTGCGACAATCTGGGCTGCGCAATGCCTTGAATGCACGAGACGAGGAGACGTCGGGCGACAGAGACGAGGCCTCGCAGGCCAACGACGAGGACGACGACGGTCCGGTGGTTGTCCGACCGAGTAACAATCGGGCGGGCGCATCAAAGCAGAAGAAGAAGATTGCAAGATCAAAAGTGTCGTTTGGCGACGACGCGGGCCAAGATGACGAGGAGCTGAGCAGCGATCTTACCACGCCAAAGAAGCCGGCAATGGGACAGAAAGTGCTCGAAACCAACAGTGTCAAGCGAGGCATGGCCGCTAGAAAACTGCCGCTGCCGGTTCGATCATACCAGGACGATGACGACAGACCACGGTACAGCAAAGAGTATCTCGACGAGCTGAAATCATCAACGCCGAATACCCCGAGCGACCTTTCCTCTCTCAAGGCGAATCTCGATGACGAAATGGAGCTCGATCCCTCAGAACTAGAAGGCGCCTTGATAGTAGAATCCCCGATACCAACCTCCATCAACCAGCCGCAGACCACTCAGATCCTTACCGAAGCCGAGATTCGCGAGAGAAAAGAGCGGAGAGCTCGGTTAGCAAAGGAAAAGGACTTTCTCTCCATGGAGGATGAGGACGATGGCTTATCGATTCGGAAGAAGAAAGATGAGACCCGACTGGTTGCGGAAGACGAGGATTTGGGAGAGGGCTTTGATGAGTACGTCGAGGATGGAGGGCTGTCACTCGGCAAACGCGCGGAAAAGGAGCGGCGAAAGCAGGATCGTCAGAAGATGGCCGAGCTCATCAACGCAGCCGAAGGCCATACCTCGGACTCTTCGTCAGATAGCGATGCCGAGCGACGAATCGCGTACGAAACGGCGCAGACGCGCGCGGGACTGGACGGGCTTAAGAAGCCGAAAAAGGACCCCAACGAGCTGCTGCTACAAGTGCCTCCAAAGATTACGCCATTACCGAGTCTCGCGGAATGCTTGGTGCAGCTGCAGGCGACGCTGAAGACGATGGAGATGAACATTACTACCAAGGCGGCGACGGTGGCGCAGCTCACGCGCGAGAGAGACGACATTATCCAGAGGGAAGCCGAAGTGCAGGCGTTTTTGAACGAGACAGGCAAAAAGTACGAGGAGGCCCTGGGGCGGAAGCCCGGTTCTACTGATGGAGTTGCTGGTGCGTTGGCTGGCGAAAGGGGGCTGGAGAGCTTGGGTGCGACGCCAGTGAATGAAGTCCAGATGGAGGACCTGGCGTGATAACGACGGTTGATGATTTAACCTATTTCTTTTTCACATGTACAAGTATATAGCGGGTTATTTGGGAAGCTGTCGTTACGCAGCGACTGCACAATAGATCAATTGGGCAAACTAATGGCGATTGTCACAAATATACATTTTAATTCTGACCATCTTCCTACTAATGAACAAACAAGGATATTAGCAAGACCATGTTTAGCTTGTCTAAAGGGGGATCCGGGACTTACAAGGCGTAGGGCATGAGTGCTGCTCCTTGCGCTTCAGTAAGTCCTTGAAGTTCTGTATCTGAAACGAACCCATCTCCATAGTTCTGTCTCGTATATTGTTGAATCAAGGACGGCGCTTGGTCATCGTCACCCAAAAGTCGGACGCAAAGAGGAATATCGACGCGGTCGTCTTGATCGGATTTTCAGGGTTGACGATGCAAAAGTCGAAGCATCGTACAAGCTGTGGAAGAGCCAGAAAAAACATTGTCAACTTGTCTTCTTCTTCGTTTCCTCTTCGCTCCTTCCCCCCCCCCCCCCCCCCCCCTTTTTCTGCACGAGTCGAGTCGAGTCGTGATCTTGCCTCTTTGTTTGGCTCACTGATAGCCCCCTCCCGGCGTGTAACAACAGCACAATCTCCATGTGAACTGGCAACGCAACGTACATACCTCAAACACAGCCTTGTGCAGCTCCATCAAAGCAATCTGCTTCCCGAGACAAGAATACTTGCCATGTCCGAAATGCGTATCCAGCGCATTCCTCATCTTCTTCAGTTCGAACCCCTCAGCACGGAGCCACCTCTCCGGGCGAAAGACATCCGCGTCCGCTCCCCAAACGGCCTTGGACCGGCCGACGCCATGGAAACCCTGTCCGATTTCGGTGCCCCCGGGGACAAAGTAGCCGTTGAGGGAATCGCCTTCGGGGGGAACGGTTTTGAAGCCGAGGCCGCTGACGGGGGGCCACATGCGGAGGCCTTCGCTGACGACGGCTCGGAGGTAAGGCAGGGATTGGGTATGAGACCAGGAGATTATGCGGGAGGAGGAGGAGGAGGGGGTGAGGGAGCGAATTTCGGTGAGGAGGGCGGTGTGTGCTGGGGGGTTGGTTATGAGGGCGAGGAGGGTCATGCGGAGGGCGTGGGCGGAGGAGTTTGAGCCGGCAATGCTGGAGGTTGTGTAAGTGTGATCTGGTATGGAGAAAGGTTGAGGTGAAAGTCACCAGAGTCTGTCATAGGGCGGGAAATGAAGAGGGGGTCTTATTGAATGCTTACATGGAGAGAAGGACTTGCTGGATGAGATTATTCTTGGTCATGCCGTTGTCAATGTGCGCTTGCATCATGTCGCGAGTGCGCGGAGTCTTGGGGTCGAGGCGTCTCTCTACGTAACTTCGTGCAAAGCTTCATGTGGCATTAGCGTTCATACGGACTTGTAATGACTGGATTTTGAAACCAAAACCGCTAGTCTCACTGCATCAGTCGACCAAAGCCGACTTTGGTCCCCTTCTTTGGGCAACAATAACCTCAGCGGCCACGTATGAATGAGACTCGCCAGCGCCGGCATCACGGAAACGGCATTCATGACGGGCAGCGACGTTCTGTTGATCTTGTTGTACTGATACAAGTCCTGGTCCTTTTCGAGATAGCCAAAGGGCTGGCCGAGTGAAATGTCGCCAATGGCGTCTAGGGCGAAGAACTGCGTCTGCTCGGCCATGTCAAACGGGCGCACGTCGGAGCCCGAGGAGAGGTACTTGCGCTCGAGCAGGGTGATGAAGCTGGTCAGTTGGCGGTCCAGGGCTGGTTCGAAGCTGAAGCCCTCGTTGGCTTTACCAGAGAACTGTGTGTAAGAGAGAGAGTGAGGAGTATCAGTCAGTGGGGAGGGAATCTTATCTTTTGAATAGCTAAACTGAGAAGTTGGGGGATGAGGATGATGATGATGGCTTACACCGGGCGTCATGAGGGCGCGCATCTCCTTGTGCTTGGCTGGATCTCGCAGGGAGACGACTTGTCCACGCCAGGGACGATTCTGCCGCTGGCGTAAAACTTGCCCTTTGTGTAGCCGCTGCGAACGGCGGACATGCGGCGGAGGACGTCGGGGTCGACGGAGAGGAGCTGGTTGGGGCCGATGCGGACCAGAGGGCCTATATTTACATGGATTTCAGAATGATTTTCCCTCATGTTATCAGAAGCGAGAGTTGATTTTCGGTGTGTGAATGATTGTATGATGGGACGATAACGAACCATGTGTGTCGGCGGCGTCTTTGAGCCGCTCGTGATATCGCCCGGACATTGCGCCGGAGAGCTGCCACCAGATTGTCCATGCTGCGCTGGGCGGGCCGGGGATGTGGCGGAGGCGTTGCCAGAGGTAGATGCTTCTAGCGATATAGACGAAGAAGAATACGAGGCAGATGCTGGATAAATTGATGAGGAGGAGCGGCATTGTGGAAGTCTGGGAGTGGATGAGCTGGGATAGGAAGCTGCAGTTGGACATGTTGTGATACATGCACGCCTTTACGAGATGTACCTTAGTATTTCTGAATACTACCTTACATGAGACACGATGAGACTAGCCGACCAAAGCTGTAAATTGCCAATTATGATTAATGGGAGAGGAGAACAGTTTGCAGAGGGTTGAGAGATGGCATTTATAGTCTCAGCTCGGTTCACGCCTGTGATCTATGGTCTTGATAGCCCGGTTGCGATCGATCCGGAGACCCTTGGATATATCGAACGCTAGTTGCCACGCCTCGTAAGAACTGCGCAGAAGCGGGATCCACGGCTGACTAAATGTATAGATCCAGAAATGTTTGGCAGGGGCTTGGAAAGGAAATGGGGGACATGATGCCGCCTTTATTTGCCTCCTCTTGATGTGGATGACATGGGGCTCACTGTCGAACTCGAGTGCGTGCCATTACAGGATCCAACAGAGAGCTTTCTCGTCCAACTTGTAGGTATGCATTTGTAGTGGTGAGTCGGGTACGTGTCAGGGCAGTCGAAAGACCGAGTTCACGCATAGTACAAGTCGAAAACATTTAAAGTCCAGTATCCTCTCAACACCTTCAATGGTTCATCTGATGACCCTGATCAGCTGCCCGTAACAGACATGCGATACTTGCCTCGCTAGTCGCGGGCCGAGCCAGGCCTCATGGGGGCCACTAAATTAGCGCTGGGCGGGACGAGTTCCGAGGGGTTTCAATGGATTTGATTGCATCGTTCGATGGATGGATTCTGTCTGGTGCCTTTGAACAAGACCAGGCAAAGATGCTTGAGCTGAGGCCGATACGTCCAGATAGATAAATGTACAGAGTGTCCTACACCTGACCACTGCTAATGCGCAAGCAAACGCCGTTCACAAAAGTCAACCAAAGGAGAAGAACAAGCTACGAAGGTCTACTGCAGTCAGTTTGTGATTCCTGCCATTCATTACATGATCCCCCGTTAATTATCATTCTCCCTGGCCCCCAACTTTCGCCAATGACCCCAGAGTCTAAGACATCACCTATAACCACTCAACAAGGCCATGCTTAACATGCACCAGAACAAAAGCGAGGCAATACCCGATAGTCCCTCCTCTCCATAGAGTCTGTGTGATTCGCTATAAACGAGGGTCCAATAGCATCTCCATTTGTGCACACTGGGAAATAAATTATCTTCCGACAATAGCACATAACAAAGCGGCACTGATGGGCCAGGCTTGGAAGTTATATTACCTGTCAGATCACCTCGCGCTTCATTTGCACACGCTGGAGAAGTCGGGACGGGAGTGAGATGGCCTAGGGAATCGGGATGATGGCGGCAACCCAGCAGGCTGCCTGACATGCCCCGTAGGCTTCGGTGCCGTAGAGGGTCGCGGCGCATGCGGCTTGACAGAGCGAAAACGAGACTGGACCAGCAACTGCGGTGGTGGTGAGGGTGGTGAGGGCGAGGACCTTGAAAGTCCGCATCTCTTGTTTTCTTCTATTGTTTTTCTCTGGCTGTTGTTGGCGACGGCGTTGCTTGTGGTGGTGTAGTAGTTGAGTAGAAGTGGTGGTTTCTTATTGTGTGAGTTCGTCTTGGTATAAAAGGGGGCGATTTCTAGTTGGAGAGCGAGTGAAAGGATGCAAACTCATTGACAAGATATAAGCGACGTATATGTAGATGATGATACGCCTTTTGGTATATCGAAGCGTGCTGTGCAGCAGCTCCAAGTGACTGATGCTACAGACTCGCATTCACCAGGTCATGCCTGGGAGGCCGTCAACAGTGTAGGCCACCCACCAAAGCGTAGCACTGACCCAATCTCTTGATGCAGCGCAGGACTCGTGTTGCAGAGTGAAATGGCAATCCTTGCTCCGACTCGATGGAGTGAACAAGGTAATAGATATGCCTCCAATGATATAATGGATTGGCCATCCTGGGAGAATTACATGGCTTCTACGGCTAAGAAACGACGACAGCTTCCCCAGCGGTGCATCTGTAATCACTCAATCATAGGAACGAACATGGCAGTATCACCACGAATCAAAGACATCCAAACCATCTCGCTATATAACGTTCCCATCTACCTATGATGGCATCAGACGCTCACAGAAAAGCAAGTCGAGGCATCATGGTCTTCTACATCGTCTTCTTGGCCTCCTTCTTCGTATACTCCAGCCCATCCCTCACACTCCCAAACCACAGCGCCCACAAGTCGACAAACAAATTCAGCCGCCCATAGAACGGCGCAACGCCCGTCGCCTTGGGAATCCTGTCCACGGCCTTGACAAAGTACGAGCTCTTGGCATTCGTGCTCGACAGCCGCGGCATCCCCTCCGTCCTCTCAATGACGGGCACCACGCTCGTCGCATTCTCCGCCTCCATCTCCTTGAGCACGCGAATGGCCAGCTTCGTCATTGAGTCGGCGCCCGGCGTCCACGTCGTCGTCACGTAGCCAAAGACGGAGGCCAGGTTGGGCAGGCCCTCAATCATGCAGCCTCGCCATGCGTACTGCTCGCCAACGTCGATTGCTTTGCCGTCGACGTGGGGGTTGATTCCGCTGAGGATCTGAATGTGCAGTCCCGTGGCGGTGATGACGATGTCTGCCGGGAGATGGCGGCCGGACTTGAGCAGGATTCCGTCCTTGTCGGCGGTGTCAATCACGTCTGTGACCACCTCGACGTTGTCGCGATGCAGGGCGTTGAAGAACTCGTCGTCAGGCGTCAGGCAGAGCCGCTGCTCAAAGGGGCCATACGTCGGTTTGAAATGGACCGCAGCGTCAATCTTCTTGGGCAGCTTCTTGTCCAGATCCAGCGTGATGAGGTAGCGTCCAAGGCGAGGCCACCGCAGACAAAGCTCCGAGATGAAGACCTCGAACCAGACGTCGACCCAGTGGCCGATCCAGTACACCCACGACAGGGGCAGCACCGTCGAGAGAAGAGATTCCAGCTTCGAGCGTCTGTCCACAGAGATGACGTACGACGGCGTCCGTTGAAGCATCGTGACGGATCTTGCCTTTTCCGCCATCGCGGGCAGCAGAGTGATGGCGGTTGCTCCGCTGCCAATGATGACGACGCGCTTGTCGCTGTAATCGAGATGCTCCGGCCACCACTGCGGATGGACGACGGAGCCCTCAAAGCTGTCGATGCCGGGGATGGGGCTCTTGAGGGACTGCTCGTACGAGTAGTAGCCCATGCAGGAGACGACAAAGCTGGCCTTGAGCAGCAGCTTCGTGGCGCCGCCGTCGACGTCGACCTGCAGCGTCCATCTCTGCTCGTGGCTGCTCCAGTCGCTGCGCACGACCCGGTGTCGGAGCCGGATCTTGTCCAGGGTGCCGTCTGCCCGGGCCGCGTCCTCGAGATAGTCGCAGATCTCGGCGGCAGAGGCAATCTTGTGCGCGTGCTTCCAGGGGTGCCAGGGGAAGCCAAAGGAGCGCAGGGACGAGTCGCTGCGCATGCCGGGGTACTTGAAGAAGCTCCAGGTGCCGCCGATGACGTCGCGGGCCTCGAGGATGGTCAGGGCGCGGTGCGGGAGCTCGGTTCGCAGCCGGTGAGCGGCGTTGATGCCGCTGAGGCCGGCGCCGATGATGACAATGTCATGCTCCTCGACGGGCAGATCAGAGGCAGCCATAGATGATGATGATGCTGTACCTCAAGTGTATCTCAACTAAAGTAACGGGAGGCGCTCGGGTGCAACGTTGGGGCTGGCCAGGACGTCGAGAGATTGCACAGCATGGAGATTGGGGGTTGACGAACCTGGAATTAGAAGTTCAGGGACTTTTTTAGGCTCCTGGGGCTTTATATGGCGCCACTACATGTACATACCTATAGCCCGGATACAGGTACCTAAACCATTAATGACCGCCCAGGCAAGATAGGTTGGCTCGTCCTGCTGCTTGGTCTTTAGCTACGGGAACGGAGTCTCGCGATAGGTTGCCGTCGGCAGACCAAGGGGCGCCGGATGTGATCCGCCTGCATGCAATCAAATGTGGTGGATGGTGATAGGTTGTGGGTGGCAGCACTAGAGGCGCTGTGCATGTGAACAGTTGGTATAGAAAGAATACATGTAGACTATGTATGATTGGCAGCAAACCCTCGAGACAGTTGCTTGAGAGACGGCAAAACCACGACGCCAAGCTTCAACTTACAATGTTTAAATTCAAGGATATCGGGCTCCATACATGATCCATTGGGTCATACGAATAGTCTCGACATGCTCATGCGTAAATCCAAAATCTCTATCCATCTGTGGATAGCTTCAAGGCGTCTGCTGCCTCCCCCGTCTCTCCCCATCGTCGACGTCTTTCCCCTGGCTAATTCCTCGTCCTAGCATTGACAGGAGACATGATTGGTCAAATTAGATGATACTAATTGATATCCCGTCTAGTTTCTAAAATCAGATCAGCAATATGGGCTTGGATTACATAGTATAATGTCTAATCTCACCCTGACAACTGACTCCAACAAACTGCAGAGCCTCAGCCTCGACCCTGCCAGCCCCACACCAGCTCAGAGCGGGGCGCGATCCCGCATCGAAGCAGCTAGAAGGTGCCTGTACATGTATTTTGCATTTCAACCCCACATGCTCACTGCAGTCAATGCCTCTGCTTCTCTTCAATCCATAGAGCCGATCATCGCCAACAGCTTCACGTTCTTTGCGTCTTGACTGATTGCTTCATCTACCAACTACCAGATACCCTCCCAAGTGTTTCTATACGATCGTCTGTCTACCTAGAAGGTACCAGCTGAAGGCTTTCCAATATGGCTTCCGCAGACGAGCTCAAAGCTCTGGGCAACAAGGCCATTGCCGAAAAGAACTTTGACGACGCCATGTAAGCCCGTCCAGTCCTCAAACACCCCCTCCAACAGAGCCAACAGAACAAAGCCACAGAAGCTGACACACTCTCTCTCTCTTCCTCCCCCATCAGTGACAAGTTCACCCAGGCCATCGCCCTGCAGCCCGACAACCACATCCTCTACTCCAACCGATCCGCCGCCTACGCCTCCAAGAAGGACTGGGACAACGCCCTCAAGGACGCCGAGAAGACCACCGAGCTCAAGCCGGACTGGGGCAAGGGCTGGGGCCGCAAAGCCGCCGCCCTCCACGGCAAGGGAGACTTGCTCGGCGCAAACGATGCCTACGAGACCGGTCTCAAGCACGACCCCGACAATGCGCAGCTCAAGAGCGGCCTGGCCTCTGTTGAGAAGGCCATGCAGCAGGAAGCTGGTATGTTCTACATACCCATAGCACAAGCTAAATCCCCCCAACTATCCCCTTTGCATATATACTGACGTACAACTTCCGCAGGCGGCGGACTCGACCCGACTGGTGGCATTGGCAAGATGTTCAAGGACCCCCAGCTGATCCAGAAACTTGCCTCCAACCCCAAGACGAGCTCCTTCCTGGCCGACCCCGCCTTCATGGCCAAGCTGCAGCAGATCCAGCAGAACCCCCTCAACTCCCAAGACCTCTTTAGCGACCCCAGGATGATCCAGGTGCTGGGCGTCCTCATGGGCGTCGACATGGAGATGCGGGACAGCCCCCCTGAGGGCGCCCAGACCTACAATGTGTCCGAAGATACACCCATGCCTGACGCTCCCAAGAAGCAGCCCGAGCCCAAGAAGGAGCCCACGCCCGAACCCGAGCCGCTCGACGAAGAGGCGCTGGAAAAGAAGAAGAAGAAGGAAGAGGCCGACAAGGAGAAGGCGCTCGGCACCGAGAACTACAAGAAGCGCAACTTTGACGCCGCCATTGAGCACTACAGCAAGGCCTGGGAGATTTACCAGGACATCACCTACCTGAACAACCTCGGCGCGGCCTACTTCGAGAAGGGCGACTACGACAAGTGTATCGAGACCTGCCAGAAGGCCATTGACGAGGGCCGACAGATCTACGCCGACTTCAAGCTCATCGCCAAGAGCTACGCCCGTATCGGTACTGCGTACGAGAAGAAGGGCGACCTGGCGCTGGCCGTCGAAAACTACAACAAGTCCCTGACCGAGCACCGAACTCCCGAGGTCCTCAACAAGCTCCGCGCCGCCGAGCGAGCCAAGGCCGAGGCGGCCAAGAAGGCATACATCGACCCCGTCAAGGCCGAGGAGGCCCGTGAGGAGGGTAACAAGAAGTTCAAGGAGATGGACTTCCCCGGCGCCGTGGCCGCCTACACCGAGATGATCAAGCGAGCGCCCGATGACCCCAGGGGATACAGCAACCGTGCTGCCGCGTTCGTCAAGCTGTTCGAGTTCCCCAGCGCCCTGGACGACTGCAACATGGCCATCAAGAAGGACCCGACCTTCATCCGGGCCTACATCCGAAAGGCGCAGGCTTACTTTGGCATGCGCAAGTACTCCGACTGCGTGGACACATGCGACGAGGCCATGAAGGTGGACGCGGAGCACCACAAGGGCGCCAACGCTCGTGAGATTGAGCAGCAGCAGCAGAAGGCCTTTGCGGCCATGTACTCAGCCCGGGAGAACGAGACGGAGGAGCAGACGAGGCAGCGGCTGATGCAAGATCCAGAGGTAAGATAGATATATACATGCCCTTTTGTCCTCCTTGATATAGCGACCAAACGAGCCTTGGCTAACAAATCACGGCCAGATCATGGGCATCATGCAAGATCCCGTCATGCAGGCCATTCTGCAGCAAGCGCAGTCAGACCCCATGGCGCTCCAGGAGCACATGAAGAACCCGAGCGTGCGGTCCAAGATTCAGAAACTGATCGCGGCGGGTGTCATCAGAGTCGGCGGTCGGCCATGAGTGGTTGGAAAAAAAAGGGGCATACGGGGTGTTTTGTAAATCCAATTAATGAGTCAATGAAACAGCTTCATATGTAATGTATGTATATCTAGTAGGTGCGTCTCAACAAGCATTTGATTAGTATACAATATTTTGATGCTCTTCCCAGAAACTTACGAGATCGGTGAGTTTGATTCGAGCCAGAGGGTCTTTCTCCATACACTGCATGACGACGGCTTTCCAAGCATCGGGAATATCAGCTGCAACTTCACTCCAGCAGACATGAAGCTCATCGGGGCTGAGAAGCTCAATATCCTCCTGCGGAACCTGCTGCAACAGCATCCACATTGTCCGCCCCAAGCTAAACACCTCTGCAGCCTCTGCAGCCATTGGCCATTTCTCGCTCCATTCAGGAAAGACGTTCCAAGCCGGTCTGCCCCTCGGGAGGTTAACTCGCTCCGGGCCTTGATACCTTGAGTATACCAGCTGCGATGCGTCGTCGTCGTCGTTGCCATCATCATCATCATCATCATCGCTCACTCGAGCCACGTCCCATTCGCCGTTTGCTTCGGGAGCGAGGGTATACCACGGCGCGCCGCTTTGTTCCCAGTCGATGAGGACGAGGTTTCCGTGGTCGTTGACGAGGAAGTTTGCGGGCTTGATGTCCATGTGGAACGTCTTTGCTGTGCGGTGCGTGTGGAGGAGTGCTTGGCACATTTGGAGACACCAGCGGGCTTTGCTTTGCAGACTGATGCGTGGCTGGTTGTGGGCTTCTTGGGCGGTTGTGATTTGGGTGTCGAGGGTGCCTTGGTTCATGTATGGGTAGAGGGTCCCCCGTAAGAGGAGCACTTTGTTATGGTGGGTTGTCGACGTGATGAGGATGCGGGGAGGGGGCTGGATGTTTGGATGGGGAGGGATGGTGTGGGAGATGAGTTTGATGGAGTGGTAGAAGGAGTCGCGGTTGTAGGTGAATTCTTCGCGGGAGTTGAGGAGGTCTGTGAAGGCGATGGATTTCATGGCGTAGAGGGCGTTTGGGTTGGATGGGATGTGGACTAGAGCTGAGGTTCCTCTTCCCGGGAGAGGGTGGATGAGGACAATGTCTTTGATGTCGATGAGCTTGATGGCTTCTCTGGACGAAGAGTGCATGTTGTCTCGGAAGAAGAAGTCGTCGACGGGGAGCAGCGCGTCGAGAAACTCCTGATACAGCGTGCTCTCATATCGTACAAGCCATTGGATATTCACACCTTCGGCTCCTCCTTGCTCATCACGCTCGTCGTCGTCGTCGTCATCAAACAGGTCAACAACAGCATCCGGTGCCGCAGCAGCGTGAGCACAACTAGGCCATGCTCGTTGGATAGCAGCTCCAAGTGCTTTGCGCATGGACGCGCGGTCGGGAAACGTTGCGCTGCTGGAGGAGACGGGGAGGTCGTGGAAGCGAGACACGATGCGGTTTGCAAGGCTCTGTGGCTGCTGGGTAGTAGTGTCTTGGGTGAGGCGGAAGGTGAGGAGGGAAGGGGAGTTGTTTGCTGTGTCGTGGGCGTGGGCGAAGACTTGGGTTTCGTCGTCGTTGCCCCAGATGAGGTCGATGAGGATGGAGGGGATGGACATTTTGGGTGAGTGGTTGGGTGGGTGGATGGCGAGGATTGGGAGCGACGGGGAAGACGACGAGAGGGAGGGGAGATTATTTGATGAGTGAGGCTGTCATTGTTTTGAGTCATCAGATGTTGTTCAGGTCTGGGTGATGTTGGAGCTTGATGCTTTACGTGCATGAGGCTGGAATGGGTGAACCAACAGTCTCGAGACCGTTTATAGGTTACAGTCGTAGAGGATGTTGGCTCTTGTAGGGAAGGTCGTCAGCTTTGGATGGAGCTGAACCGTCCTATCTTACCACCGATTCATACAATATATTTGTTGAGAATCCTTGAAGAGATGAGCATCACGGCTCCTACCGTAGTTGCTCTGTTTTGATAACTCTTCTTTCTTTCCTAACGAACAGACTCAGACTCGCCTTCTCACGTAGTCGTTGAGTTGTTGCACAAACTCAATCTCATGCTCTCTGCCTCTGATAATGCTTACATAATCTTGCCTACAATCAAGATGAATGCACTCGTTCTGCCGACTCACCGATTGATTCTATTCTATTCAAAACTCCAACAGCAGTCAGACACAATGTTTACCGAGGCACCATGAATTCGTCCCTCGCAGGGAGGGTTGATGATATAGCCATTGACGACGACGATGAGGCAGAAGACTTTATCCTAATCGATGTGAGCGATGAAGAGGAAGAGGAGGAGGAGGAGGAGGAGGAGATCCCCGACAGCCAAGAATCGACCCCAGAGCCTGATGAACCCATCCTTGGAATCTCGCATGTCAACATCGCCAGAGCATCAACAACTCCATCGAGCACTGGGCCGCCGTTGTGCAAGGAGCAACTCGACCTGCTGCACCTCATCGTCTCCGGACGAAATGTCTTCTTTACCGGCTCGGCAGGCTGCGGGAAATCCACCATCCTGAAAGCCGCGGTGAAGATGCTGCGTGACATGGGCAAGATTGTCCATGTCGTTGCGCCGACTGGCCGCGCAGCGCTTCAGGTCGACGGCATGTCGACGTGGTCGTACATGGGCTGGACGCCGGACTACCACAAGTTCGCCATGGACAAGCTCATCTCCAAGGGCTTCCGTACGCACATCATGAGGCGCTTGAGGACCACAGAGGTGCTCATCATTGACGAGATCAGCATGGTGGAAAACCACCACCTGGAGCGCATCAACAACTGCATGAAGGCGGTGCTTTGCTGGAAAGAGTACCGGACTGAGAGAGATGACTGGGAGGCAATGTCGAGCATTGATGCCTTTGGCGGCGTGCAGGTCATTGTTACGGGCGACTTTTGTCAACTACCCCCCGTCAAGCCATTCGACTTTTGCATGCAGTGCGGGAAAGAGTTGATTGCCGACAAAGACGGAGCCGAGTTCAACTGCGAAGAGAACCACGGTCCATTCCCGGAGACGGACAAGTGGGCGTTCAAGAGCAAGGCTTGGGAGGAGGCAAAGTTTGCTCACGTGAACCTGAAGGAGATCCATCGCCAAAAGGACGAGCACTTCATCAGGATGCTGCAGAAGTGCCGTCTGGGGATCTCTTTCTCGCCTCAGGAGATGCACACCCTCATGGAACATCCGTGCAAGGTGCACAAGGCCACGAAGCTCCTCTGCACGAGAAAAGAGGTTGCCCGGGTGAACCAAGTGAATTTTGATAAGCTCAACACTCCAATATGGGAATACCACGCTCTGGACGGCTTCATCGCTCGTCAAGAAAAGCACAAGCAACTATCGCAATATTACGAGCGTTTTCACGATGAAACACTGGTGGCTTGCAAAGACAACCGTCTGGATCGACGCGTTAGGCTGCGTCCCGGTATGCTAGTGATTCTGCAGGTCAATCTCGATATCAGGGGGGGCTTGGTCAATGGAAGTCAGGGCATCGTTTGCGGGTACGAAGACTTCAATTCCAAGAGCCTTCCAATCGCAGCCAAGGGGAAAAAGGCCGACTCCATTCCTCCTCACCAGCGCATCACCGGAGAATATGCCGAATTCAGAGAAAGGCAGATAGAGAGCTTCATGATACAGCATCAGCATCACCCAACGTTGTGGCCGAAAGTACACTTTCACAACGGCCAGAAGCGCGTCATCTACCCGACCTGTGTTGTCAATTCAGTCGGCGATAAGGAGCCGTATTCATTGCTGCATCGGACGCAGATACCGCTTATGCCGGGCTGGGCGATGAGCGTCCATCGAAGCCAGGGCATGACGCTGGATCGTGTCGTTGTTGACCTTTCTAATGCCTTTGAGGAAGGCCAGGTGTATGTCGCGTTATCCCGAGCGACGAGCCTAGAGGGTCTTAAGATTGAGGGCAGCGCGAGCGGATTGTTCACGACGGGAGGAAACGAAGATGTGCAGGAATTTTTACAGGCGAGGTTCGGCGATGGACTGTTCAAAGCAGTACGGGAGTTTTCGGCTTCACAGCTTGAGTCAAGTACAGCTGGCGAAGACGAGAAAGGCTGAAAGACGCACGAGCAGATTGATGGCGACCAATTTGAACTGGCAAACAATGTGCAGCGAGGTCTGGGACAAGGCGACTCTCGCTTCCAACACGGCTTAAACAGTTCCGAGGATATCGACACATGAGCACCTCAATCTGAAAGCGACCACCAGGGGGCCGCTGCTCTGCCGATAATGAGGCTTCACCCGCCATGCTGGAACGCTTCGTCGCCGCCCTCGCTTCAGTTGGGGAGAGTCATCATTGCTCTATTGGTTGACGAAGTCTGGCGGCTTCACGGATCTCTGACTTTCTTAACCACCAACCCCCCCCCCTTCTTCCCTTCTTTTTTTTCCTTTCTTCTGTTTTTCCGGTTTGGCTTCCGTGCAAGGCGTTGTGGTTGCCTTGCCAGTTGGCCTGTTGGATTCAGGAGTTTAGCATTTAGCAATACCCACTGGATAGGATGACTTTCAAACGTCCAGGAATAATACCAACTGAATAAGACCACTCATAGAAAGAAAACTATGAGACTCGTACATAAATCGAGACCTTTGTACGAATAAAGTAAAACTCCAACACCATGGTTGTCTCTCAGTATCTCTCATCTCTGAGGCGATGTGCTCCCAAAAGTGAGCGGCCTCTATCGAGTGTGGTATTACTATGAAACAGACGGCGACGTTGAGTACGGTCACAGTCATTTTGTCTCCGTAATCCTTGGATTTATCAATGTCCTCTCAGATTTGCTTAAACAGTGTCATTTTGTGTCTGTTTCTATTCGTCAGCATATCTGGGGTAAGTTGTCTTCTCAGACGCAAGAGAATAAATCTACTTTGATTAGGCCCCTACGGCAGCAGAGATATATATAGATATGGCAAGTGCCAGAGCCACAGCGGCTCCATGCCTGAGATAGCGTCCAATGCTCCGATCTTAGCTCATGATGGTATACATGTATGGAATTACCGTCTTGGAACCTCCACTTCCTCAGAGGTATCAGGCATAATCATGCCGCCAAGCTCGACAAATCGTTAGCAAGAAGCTATATATGAATATTCCATCCGCTGCCAAAAATCCAACAAAAGCTCACATCGAGGGTGCACATTTGCCCGCGTGGTGGAATCGCTTCTCGGGGGGGGCGCTTTTGGGCTGGGGGAATCCGTGCGTTCGACCCACGACACTATTATAACACCGTCTGTTGGTCGAACAATCGTTCATGAATACAAACTTATCGTCCAAGCTTGAGACAGACAGTCGAGAAAAAACTCGGAAATTGAAAGCCAAAAGGTTCCGACTCGCTGGTCTGAGCGGCTTGGTGCGGGAATCCAAAAAAAATTGCATTTATGAAGCACCTCCCTATCCTGCGTGTTCGACTGCTTCGTCTCTCCGTATCGCTGGACCATAGGTAAATCACTGTATTATATCACCCAAAATTTCAAAAAGTCATCTTCCGAGGTACCTCACCAGACGCCAAACCAAGATGAAGACCGCCTCCCTCTTCTTCGCCGCCTCAATGGCCGTCGCCGTCGCCGCAAAGACTCTGTCGGACGTGCTGCCCAAGTGCGCTGTCGACTGTGCCAACGAAAGCTTGAAGACGGCCAAGTGCAAGCTTGACGATACAGCCTGTATCTGTGCGGACCAGGAGACCTACCAGACCCTCCTTCAGCCAGCAACTGAATGCATGCTCAAGGAATGCGGTCAGGCAGAGACACTCAGTAAGACTCCCGTTTGAAGATGATGGCCCTTTGGACGTTCACTACATCATGTAAGCCTGACACACCATGGTACAGAAAACGTTGTCCCTGCTGTGATTAATTTCTGCGCCGCCGCAAACCCCAAGCTTACGGCTCGTCCTTCCGCCCCCTCGACCTCTGCCCCGGCCGTGCCAAAGACGACTCTGGTGCCGTCTTCCAAGGCCCCATCTGCTGCGGCTTCTGCTGCGGCTTCCGAGACCTCTCCTGAGGCGTCCGAGACTGCGATCCCCGAGAAGAAGTGGACGTCGGATCAGGTTACCGAACTCGTCGAGGCGACTGGCAGTGCAAGCCCGACTGCCGCTTCGTCCGAGCAGGCTGCTTCGACCTCGACCTCGACCTCGACCACGGCCACTGCGGCGCCGTCGACGGCTGCGGCTGCTGGAGCTGCCGGGCCCATGGTGGCCGCCGCGCTGCTCGTTGCCGGCACCGTTGCGATGCTGTAGATGGCGTGCGAGTTTTTTTTCAAAGATACTGCTGCTGAGTGGGATGTATGAGGGGGATGATTGACTGTTGCCGAGAGATGAAAGAAGTCATGTTTGTCTGGTGTTGTCAAATTCCTGGGGTGTCGAATTGTATTACATTGTACCTTGCGCTTACATCAGCCGAGTGGATGACATGGGAATGCAGATGCAGATTCACATCCAGTCGGCGGTAAATCTCCGTACAGATGGCAAATGAGATTCCGGATCCTGAGGGCTGCCCCCTTGTCCGCGTCATGACGTGTATCTGTATGTGTGAGGTATGCATGTACATACAAGCATCTTCGCAGCTGCAAGCCGCGCTGCAGGAAAACAAAAAAAAAAAAAAAAAAAAAAACGGCGGCGGCAAATTGAACACACAAAGCCAGCTTGCTCCTCGCTTGCCAACAACGGCCAACGAATCGTGCTACAGGGATAGACGGGCCATTGATTGTAATGGAACTCACCTAACAGTGCAGCTTGAATAAAGCCGGTACCTTGCAGTGACAGGGTCCAGCCAGACTGGCGGTGTCTACATGCTACCTTACCTTACCTTAGGTAGGGAGGTCCCGAGGTCATCAATTAGCTGCGGCCGTTGCAGCTCGAGGTCGTGATGTCGACGTATCAGCCAGAGCCCGCAACAGCGCACATGCAGCCGGCGCAGGCCCTTATAGGTGCCAAGTACCTACTGCCCGGGTACATGCAGCTGCATCCCGCTGGAGAGCCCCTAAAAACAGCACCACTGGAGCCCCTCCCAGCACTCAACTGGATCAACAAAGCACTGAGCGCGAATGACGGCACCCACAGCCCCCAAGGGCTGCCTTTGAAGGATTCCATGATTGATGGATGGATTGCCCCCTCCAAAAGTCGCCCCCTATGATCCCCCCCCCGTCCAGCGCATCGCATCATCACACGATGACTGGCAGCCGCAAGCTCTGCACTGCGGTTTCAGACGCCGCCCGCGCCTATCCTGTGCGACTCTTTGGCGAGCTGATTGCTTGATCCTACTGGACATGTACGTGGCGCCTGCGATGGAGACGGAGGCCAGAGCCGGCGAAAAAGGGACCTCCACGTGACCCTTTTCTGCGTCTGCCGCCAAGGGAACCCGACCGACTTGTCTCCCCCCCACCGACCCGTATGCGGCAGGTCACGATCCAGTCGGCGCTGGCTTGGCCTGTCTCTCCCGCTGCCTTGCGTCTCCTGCTCGTCTCCCTGGCTTGCTGCTTGCTTGCCGGGAACATTACCCAGGTACGCAACGACAAGAAGCCTCCCCAAAGGCTGCCTGAGAGTCTGCCGCTGCTGCTGCTTTCACAGGCCGCCGCTGGGGGCCCGTCCGTGTCCAGCCTAGCTAGCTGTCTCTTCCAGCTCTTGTTTTTTTCCCTTAGCTCCTCCAGCTGCCTCCGACCCCGACCCCGATCCCGAAACGACCGCCTCGGCCCTCAGCCCCCCCAGCCTCACGCCCGCCATGTCTGAAGAGGACCTGGACCTCGCCGCCCAGGACGCCCAAGGCTCCGGCCGCGTCGATCGCGACCGCCGGGCGCCGCGCTTCAGCTGGACGCCCGCCTACGAGGCCACCTTCTTCCGCAGCCTGTGCGAGAGCGTCCAGCTGGGCATGCGCGAGAACAGCAGCTTCAAGGCCGAGGCGTGGGAGCGCGCCATGCTGGCCCTGCAGGAGCACCACGGCGCCTACCCGGCCAAGAGCCACCTGATCAACAAGAGCGACAACGCCCGGAAGCGCTTCCGCCTGTGGCGCGGCCTGCGAGAGGACCCGGACTTTGTCTATAACCCCGCGACGAGGACGGTGACGGCCACCGAGGAAGCTTGGAGAGCGCACATCGAAGTGAGTTGGGGCCGCGTCTTGCCCACGCATGCCGCCGGGTTGCTGATTTCTTCTTCCTTATTTTTCTTCTGCCATAGCGAGAGCCTCTGTCGCGAGCCCTGAGGGGACGGCCCTTTGACCATGAGGAGTACATGGAGGTGCTGTATCCGGACGTGGTTGGGTCGGGAGGAGCGCCGAAGAGGATCATGAAGCCACGCCGAAAGACGGACGGCCAGCCTTGCGACGAGACGGAGATGCCGGGGACGGGCGTGCTGAATCTGCAGACGGAGCCGACACCCTTGGTGCAAGAACCCTCTGAGGGCCCGAACCAACAGCCGCCGCAGCCGCAGCCACATCCGCACAAGGGCTCCCTGACTCAAGCGCCGACGGCGTCTTCGTCCGCAGCAGGTGTCCAGCAACGACCAACGACAGCACCCTCAATACCTCGCAATCTCACTGCCGGACAAGGCTCTGCCCTGACGCCTCCCGACGAGTCGATCCCTCAGAGCCGAAAGAGACCCTCCCCCATGGGGCGACAGTCTTCCGGCGACCTCGCTCAGTCAACAGCCGTTCCGGTTCTCGCACAGTCAGCCCTGCCGACCTCGCCGGAAAAGCGTCGCCGACTGTCGTCCCGAGACGAATCCAATGCCAGTATCAGCACACCCACTCCATTGTTGGGCTCCTCGGCTCTGTCAAGGCCCGCCATCGATGCTCGAACTCGCTCGGAAACCCAGAGTGCCGGGCTGCAATCGATACTGGAGGAGCTGTCAAAGACGAGCAGGGCTCGGATGTGGAGAGAGGAGGCCGTCGATATCTTGTTTAAAGAGTTCGCAAGCGAGGACGCAGACCTGCAGATCCATATATCAGAGAACGTCTTGAGCGACGAGCACAAGGCCATGGTGTTTTGCAAGATGCCGCTGCATCTGAGACAGCATTGGGTCAAGAAGCATCGCAGCCCTGCATCATAGGAACGGAAAAGAGCGACTTGGAAGATACCCCCCCCTTGGCACTGGATAGATGGCCAAGATGATGGAAGCCGAAGCATTTCCTTGTGGGTTGGATGGAACCTTTCCTTTGTGCGAAAGACCGAACGGAGCATTTTCTGGGCTGTTGGGATATAAAGCGAGCGGCGTGATGGTGTCGAGGACTCGTGGGTGGGAGAGGCGCGTTGAGAGAGACCATGATACCCCGATTCACGGCGTTGGAATCACTTGTTGCATTTCAGCGAAGATTGTTGTCGTTGACCATGGCGTTGGTGTGTCATTGCGTTTGCATGTCTGGCTCGCGGTCATTGAACAAGCTGCTGTTTGTACCTGTTTTCGATCTTGTCTTCTTCTTTGTCATTGCCATATACCTGCTTTCCTGCTTTTTCAAACTCTGGCCTGACTTCGCCTTGACGACGAGGTTGAGAGAGAGTTTTGACAGTCATTTGATATACATAGCTCTTTTGTTCAAGCATCTGAATCATACAACTGTCCAATTGAGGTGTCGTATCAGATGCGACTGGTGGGAATTGTAGGTACTCGACTCGCGAAAGCTCGTAAGGACCAACCTCGCTTCGTGATGAAGTGAAGAAAAAGCGAGTAGAGCAGTCGAAAGAAATGGAAGCATCACCACCTCTCTCGATGCCAGCAACGAGTTTGACCCTCTCTGCCATTGTCATGTCGAGCAGACCCTGCTTTTAGCTCTCATGCCGTCCTAAAACATGCATAAATCCTAACCCCTGCTCCATTGATGTAATCGAAGCTTTTCCACCCCCAGCTTTCTGCCAAGGCACGACACACCAAAAAAGCGCCCCTGCGCAAAGCCGAGGTTTTTTCGAGCCTCATACGTCATCATCACGGCTTCTTGCAAGACACGACTTATTTTCTAGCTTTGGCGTGACTTTTGCGGAGAGCGTTTGCGTCACGGCAGGTGAGGTACCTTTTTTTCCCCATGAGTGCAATTGGCTTTTTTGTGTTTTTGAGGGGAGGTATTTATAGTTGTTGCGATTCCGATATTTAGCTTTTCTTTTCCATTTCTTCCTCTATCGTGAAGCTCTAAACAACAACAACTACTCTCCTCAACACCTTGGCTTTCCATCAACGGAATTCTTCAACGCAACTACCTCCTTTTGATCATCCTTCTCCATTCAACAATACCCAAGAGTACGTTCTTGCAATGACTTGCACAATTAGGTGATGATCGTGATTTGCTGATCGCCTGAACAGTGTCTTACGCCGACGCAGCTGCAAAGGGTGCCAGGCAGTCTCCCGAAGAGGTACGCACTCCCTCTCATTTTTCTTTTTTCCAGAAACAAGAAGAGTAGAAAGCATACAAACGCATGTGAACAGCAGCTCTAACACACGCAATCCAATTCAGGCCGCCGCTCCTCAGCCTCCCGAAATCATCCCCAACGAATCCTCCTCCACGGCATCCCTCATCGACGTCGACATGCCCAGCGTGCACACCGTGCCGCCCGACTTCCTCGAGCAGGACGTGCAGACGGAGACGCAAGCGGAGCGCATCCAGCGCGAGCAGGAAGCCGCCGAGCGGGCCAAGCAGCAGCAGCAGCAGCGGGAGGCGGCCGCCGCGGCCAAGAAGAAGGCCGCCAGCAAGGCCAAGAGGGCCGACTCGTGGCTGACGCGCCAGTTCTCGCAGCTGTCCGACGGCAGCGTGACGGCGATTGCGCTGGCCAACGTGGCGGGCGTCGTGGGCGTCAGCGGGTTCCTGGGCTACCGCGCCTGGGGCCTGTACGAGAGGCGGGTGCTGGACTGGAAGCATGTTGGCGTGGGCGTCGGCGTGCTTGCTGCCGTCGGTGCGGTGGAGGCGGTGCTCGGACGTTATTTGTACAAGAGCAAGGAGAGCGAGTCTCGATAAGGGGGGGACTTTGACAGTCGCTGGTTCGGGATGGGTCTTTTCTGATGACTTGTTTTTCTTTGTTCTGTTTTTCGCGACTCTGGGCGTTTGGGTTAGGAGAGCTTTTTGGTGTTGACGCTTTTCTGTCTTCTCTGCTCCTGATTATGGCCACCATTAATTCGAGTGGCAGCTACATACTCAAAAACCAACGCACATAACGACTCTCTTCTAATCTGACATTATACCCCAAGAATAACTTGTCCTTTCGGCCCTCGAGATGCACCGCGCACACCTGTCCGATGCATTACGTAGCCACAGTCCAGCCCCCGTTAACAGTGCGTCTCGCAGGCCGCACAGCTCGTTCACATGCCTGTGAGCACTGTGACGTCATCGTCATCATCCCACTAAGCCGCTATCTCACTCACGATGCCCACGATGAGAGGAACAGAATCCCGATCAACTAATAGACCCTTTACAATACTAGGTAGGACGGCCAAGGCGAAAGAAGAAGAAGGCTTAGCAGCAATCCAACAGAGCCAAGGACATCGTCAGCCGAGCATGCCGCTCTGTCCGTCCTCTGCCCTTATCGACCTTGTCTACCTACCTAGTAGGTGTAGATACATAACCTAACAAAGTACGACACCATATGACAACCCGCCACCTTATCTCACTCTCCCCATCTCTCTCTCTCTCTCTATCTCTCTCTCTCTCTGCACCCTTTCCATATTCCTACACAACAAAGAAACAATACCCCCTTATACATTACTACCATTATCAATACAAAAGCACATGCTCCCCTACCACGACAAGTCCAAGTCCCGCCTCGCCCGCATCATGCACTCCCTCCGCCTGCGTCCCGCCCGCGACGAAGACGTCCCCGCCATGGCGGCCCTCGAAGTCGCCGCCTTCCTCGACAGCCCCATGCACAAGGCCATGTTCCCCAAGCGGCTGCGCATCAAGCCCGGGGTGCAGGACCAGCTCGAGTGGAACATGGCGCGCATGCGCAAAGGGTTGGCGGATCCGAACCTGCATTATCTCGTGGTGCTGACGGACGCGCCGGGGAGGGGGGAGATTATCGTTGGGTGCGCGGAGTGGTCTGCGCCTGCAAAGGACGACGACGACGACGATGATGATGATGATGATGATGATGATAATGACGGTGGTAGTGGTATGCGTGATAGGGATGGGACTGAAGGCGTTGGTGTGAGAAGGAGAAGCAGAAGTAGAAGAAAGAGCGAAGAGGAGCAGGAGAGAGCCAGGGATCTAGAGCTGCGAATGGCCAGGCTGCCGCCCTTTCTCGACAAGAGCGCGCTGCTGGACGCAAACGACGAGGTGATGGAGCTGATTGAAAGCTCAAAGGACGCCTTCCGGGGCCAGAACCGGCACCGGATGTGGACGCTCAACTCGATTTCCGTCGACGGCGACTACCGCGGCATCGGCGTCGGCAAGATGCTCACGCGCTGGGGCATGGAGCGCGCTGACAGGGATAAGACGGGCATCTGGATCATTTCGTCGCCGCTCGGGCTGCAGCTGTATAAGTCGTTGGGGTTTACGCAGGTTGCGGAGGGGTCGAGGTTGGGCGAGCCGCAGTATTTGATGCTTAAGTTTTATGAGCCGGGCGTTGGGGCGGAGCACCGGAATGGGGATGGAAAGGGGGTTGAAGATGGGAAGGGGATTGAAGATGGGAAGAGGATTGAAGATGGGAACGCGGCCAAGGTGGTGGCGGCGTGAAAGGTTTGAGGGAGTCTAGAGGATTGGATATCTGGGGTATTGGATAGGTGCAAGGCGTTTGGTTCTTAAGCTTCGGCGGTAATGGTGGCTAATTCGTTTGTTTGGATTGATACCGTAGGTAGAGTCTTTGAGCAATACTGTATGAGATACTGTTTGTTACCAAGGGGATGCACAACACACCGCCATGTCCTCGGCGTTGAACGCAAAGTTGAATGTCATGGATTTCCTCCTGTAAGAATACACGCGGCCGTCTATCGCAAGGCCCTCAACACCATTTGAATACATCGGTCTCCTTGTCAAGAGCCCGCTTCTTAGAATACACTGAAAACAGTCCCAGATCGACTGTCTCCTAAATTTTGTTTCCCAACCCATCTATAAGCGCCCTCTTTTACTCTTCATGAACTCTTCTTCCCTCTCTAGTTTTGCTCCTTCTTTTCGGCAGCCTCCTCAGTCGCCTTTGGGGCTACGCTCTCCACCAGCCTAACTCCAGGAAGGTTGTCCGTCTCTGAGCCATTCGAGTGGCCACCCTTGACAGTGACCTCTCGAAGCTCTTGTCGGTCTTCGGGAAAGGGCTCGGGAGCTGTCACGACGGCGGCCGGGGCCGCCGCCTCCTGGCCCTCGGCCGGCGCATCCGCTTCGGCATCGGCGTCTTCCAGCTCGGAGCCGTAAATCTCGGGGTACTTTCGGAAGCACTCTTGCATGCCCCTAGAACACTGTTAGTAACGCACAATATCCTTCACCTGGATTCATATCGATAGGAGGAGGTGGTTTTTTTCGTACTGGAACTTTTCAATGCAGTCCATGCCCTTGGGCTCCTCGGTCGAGTACACGAAGCAGCTAAACGCCGTCTTGAACTCCTCTCCGCAGGGCCCATGCGCCATGCCGCCCAGGCAGGGGCAGTCCCAGTTGATCTCGCCCGTCTCCGGGTTGAAGGCGCCCTCCTGGCTGGCCTCCTCCTCCAGCGCATCGGCCGATTCGCCGCCGAAGCCGGCGGCGCTCTGCGCAGGCTTTTCTGACTTGTCGTTGGTCGGGGTTGCTTCTGTCTTGGGGGCGGCCTCGGTCTTTGTGGAAGCGGGCTCGACGGGCTGGGGAGGGCTGGCTTGCTTTCGCTTCTTCTCAATCAGGGCGTCGACGGTGGGCAGTTCGTTGTCGGCATACGGCGCAGCGACGGGCAGGGCGTGGGCTACCGGCGGGTCAGCAGGTCTGCTCGATAAACAAGACCTACACAACGTGTGATTTAGCAAGGGGGGTCAACATACCCTCGGACTCGTCCGCAAACACGGAGCTCGTGTTATAGTAGTAGACACCGGCAATCGCCAACCCCCACCGGACGGCCGAGCTCTTCCATGACCGCGGCCTGTCTGCGGGAGCCGTTGAGGCAAATCGCCGGGGTACGGCCTGGACCAGAGACGTGCGCAAGCCGACGGCGGGCCGTGAGGCTGTTCTTAGTGCTGCGCGATACATTGTGAGGGTTGTATTAAATGTGCGAGTGAAAATCAGTAGAAGAAGCCAATGGGAGAAAGACAATGACAATGTTCAAGGGAAGCAGTAGCAATCAATGGCAGCGCAAACAAGTTGGATATGTAATCGCGGAAAAAAAAAGAAGCTTGGATCGGATCCATGACAGAATCGCCAGATTGGTCAGCGGGCCTTATCTCATCATCGTTCGGAGCAGAGAGTTGCGGAACGGGGCGGTATTTAGCCGAGAATCTTCCATGACGTTGTTTCCGCAGTGGAGATTGCGGGAGAAGACGCAGCTGTGCTTCAGTTGGCTGTGTTACATAATCAGAGGCCGGTTACATCAGCGAAGGAACATGAAAGGCTCTCTATTCATTGCCTGTACGAAGCCAGAGCTGCATCTTGGAGGCACTGGAATGCTCGTGCAATACCGCGGCCTCCAGAGATTCTTAGTCAAACTCTCAAGGATCAAGGCAAAGCTCATCAACTCAGGTAACATCAGTCCTGTTGTAGAGACAAAGAGAAGCTGGGCTCTTTGTGCCTGTCTCAACAGCCGCATGCAGGAGTTCATGTCATGCCGTAATCCTACCCTGACTAAGCCCTCCCGCCCAATCACATTCACCATGCACGTCCCCCCCGTCAGAAAAGCATTGATATCAGCTGTCCAGGGGGTTGAGCCGCTGATCGCAGGGCCATTCGGTGAAGCTTGGACTGAACCTGAAGTGGCATTGATGGCATTTGCATCCTTTCATCTTTTTTTTACGAGCTGAAGTTGCAGTTTGGCGTCGCACAACCCAGCTGAACCCAAAATAAAGGGACGCAGTTCGCCTACTGTAGGTATTTAACCAGCTCTCAGACGCACGCACAATTTCCCCCACGAAAGGGCAGCTTGGTTCAACTACTAAAGTGGCTCTGCTCTGCATCTGCATAACCCGGTTTTCTTTCTTTCATTCTATCCTCGTTCTCAACTCACCTTCTCACTTCCATACTTAAACAGCGCCCCTGGTCTGGCCTTGTCAAGCTGAGAGGGCCGTTGATCGCCTCAACTGTTCCGTCTCTGTTCTCTCTGCTCTCTCTCTCTCTTCGCCCGTCAATCTCACCAGCCGAGCGGTATCGACCCAGCAACCATCGACACCGAGCTCTCATCAACCATACAGCGCCCCCGATGGATTCGGTATTCGAGTGGCAGCCCAACAGGTTCCTGCTGGACCAGCGAAGTCCGCAGCCCTTTGCCCTCCTGGTGCTCAACCAGCCGCTCAAGAACGGCAGCAACCTGCGCAAGCTCTGGAGAAACTGTACGCTCCCGAGATACCTTCTACGCCCCGATGTATAGGCGGTGACATGCAATGCTAACTCGGGACAAGCATCTCTCCGTGTCGCTGCGGATGGCGGCGCCAACCGTCTTCATGAGCTCTCTTCGTTCCAGGGCAAATACGTGAGTTTCTCTTTCGTTACCGCAATGACATCATTGAGATTGCTTCTGTCACACCAATCATTTCCTTTATAGCTAGAAGCTGGTACTCAGTCTTCTCAAAGACTGACTACTTATTTCTCGATACAACGAAACAGCCTCAGCTCACACTTTGTAGTCAAACCTCCAAGTCATCATCGGCGACCTCGACTCCCTGAGGCCGCACGTCCACAACTTCTACACCTCCCAGCATACCCCCGCCAAAATCATCCACGACACCGACCAAGAGTCGACCGACTTTGGCAAGGCCATCACCTGGATTCGCAAGACGCAGCCTCCCGGAACCGACATCATCGCCCTGGGCGGCATCGGCGGCCGCATCGACCAAGGCCTCAGCCAGCTTCACCACCTCTATCTCTTCCAGTCGGACCCCACCTACGCCCAAGGCCGCGTCTACCTCCTCTCCGGTTCCAGCCTCACCTTTCTCCTCAAGACGGGCACCCACCGTATCCAGGTCCGGGAGGACGGCGAGGAGGACGTCTTTGGCAAGCACGTGGGCATCATCCCGCTGCAGGAGCCGAGCCGCATCACGACCAAGGGGCTCGAGTGGGACGTGACCGACTGGGAGACGCGCATGGGCGGCAGGATCAGCACGAGCAACCACGTGCTCCCGGAGACGAAGATTGTCGAGGTGCAGACCACAAAGGACGTCCTCTTCACGATAGCGCTGAGCTGCATCGACGGCGAGGAGGACGGTTGAAGAGCATGGCTGCGGAACCGGGGGTGGGACTTTGAGGACATCTTTCTGATAGCTTTTCAAAGCGCGCGCGCGCGAGAGAGACAGAGAGAGAGAGAGAGACAGAGAGAGCGAGAGAGAGAAATGTATACACTTTGATATCCCCATACCTGAAAAACGCCAAGGCGCCGCTCCGCACGCTACCAAAATTGCATTCATCGTAGGAAGTGAATCACGAGCCAGCAAAACAAGAAGAAGACAATGACGCCCGCGACAAAGATCCACTTGTCCTCGCGGGCACGGCGCTCCACCATGCGGATCGTGTCGCCGCTCACGCCCAGCGTGTTGGCGATGCCGTACAGCCGCTTCTGCGTGTTCTTGAGCGTCTCGCGCTGCTGGCCCAGGTCCCCCAGCACGGCCTGCCCGCGCGCGATGAAGTCGTCCAGGGCATGGTTGGTGTTGTTGAAGAAGTTTTGCTCGCGAAAGGCATGCGCCTCGCGGAGGTCGTCGCCGGCGCCCGTCGTCAGCGAGGCGCTGTTGGAGCTTGTGTGCCGGGGCTGGAACGACGAGTGCGTCACCGTCGTCGGCGGCGCGGCGCTGGCGTAGGGGTTCTCCGGCGTGGCGTTGTACGGTCTCCTGCCGAGGAGCTCGGAGCGGTTGTGGTGGTGCTGCGCTTCTTCGCGGGCTCGCTTGACGACGTCGAGCTTGGCGCGGAACTCGGACAGCTCCTCGCGGAAGCGCTTGACTCGCTCGTAGGCCTCCTCTTGCTTCTTGGGGACCAGTTCCTGGCGCGCGAGGCTGTGGTATTCGTCGAGCGACTTGGAAAAGGAGGTGAGGGAGACGGAGACGCTGCCAATGTCGGCGGGCGTGGGCGCGGCCTTGGACTCGAGGTTGGCGAGGTCACTGCGGATGGCCTTGCTCTGCCGCAGCACCGTGTTGTAGGCGACGTTCTATCGACGCAACGATCATATTGTTTAGTCAGGGGTTTCGGCATAGCGCGACCGCGACGTTGAGGCTCACCATCTTGAACACAGCGCAACGAGGAATTGCTGGTACCGATCTGTTGCCCCTGTGCAGGAGCTGAGCCCATTGATCTCCATCCACAACGGTTAAAGGTGATGCTTGTTTTAGTGGCCACATGGCTGCAACAGCCCCGGAATTAGCGGTTTTTCCATGCCGCCGGGCCACGAGGTACCTCTACTAGGACAAGTACGAGCGCCGAGTAGGTACCTTATCTTTTCGGCAGATCGAGATTGGCAGCTGTGGAGTTGCCGATAAGGCGTGGATACAGCCGATTTGGAGAGGCAAAAGAGGACGGAAAGCATCCGGCTTGGCGACATGCAATTGACATTTGATTGTGCTTATTCTGCAGAAACCACTATGTACACACGATGCTGCCGGGCATTTGCACTGCGTTCGCCTTCATCAGGTACGAGAGATAGATAACTAAAGCATGAAGATAGTAGCTATATAGACACCTACCTAGGCCAGGTACCATCTGATTGGAATCGTGGCGTGCTCCTGCAATAGTACCTTACATTTACCCTCATAAACACCAAAGTCGGCTGCATCGCGAGCGCAACGCCGCTTCGTCCGTCATCATGCACGTCATCCGCATACTGACCGCCTACATTCCCTCTCCCACCGCCAAAAAATCGGCCTGCAAGCAAGGTGATGCGCCGTGACAGATTGCCTATTCGGGACGGCGACGCAACCCACAGGTAAATCGATTGGTTTGCCGATCTCGGCACCGACGAGCGGCGACACCTTCACGGATGCAAGTTGCCGACCGCTGGCCGATGGCAAGCTTTTTCTTTTCTCCATAGAAGATTCTCCTTTTTCTTATTATTCATTATTCTGGAGCGCTGAGAATTGGTGATTTTGTTTCATCTTTTCTTTTTCTCTATAAAAAGCTGCGAGCTTCATACATTTGTGCCCATCCACATCAGAGATTCTTCGCTAGACTTGGGACATGATACCGCCGTCGTCTGTATAAGCTCAGCTCAACGCCATCATGGGCGCCTCAGAAGACACAACAACCGCCTCCTCAGAGTCGGACAACCCCCGTCTCTCCAATGAACTCGCCGACCCAGAGAAGCAGCAACTCCCAGCACAAGAAACCACCGTCCCTCCCCCCTATTCCATCTACACAACATGGCAGAAGCGAATGCTGGCTCTCGGAGCCGCCTGCACGGCATTCTTCTCGCCCATGTCAGCCCAGATCTACCTGCCAGCCTTGACACAGCTGTCCGAAGAGCTCCACGTGTCGAGCACGCAGATCAACCTCACCATCACGACTTACATGATCTTCCAGGGCATCACGCCAATGGTCCTCGGGTCGCTGGCGGACAGCGGCGGCAGGCGGCCGGCCTACATCATCTGCTTCGTGATATACATTGCCGCCAACATTGGCCTTGCCCTGGCTCCCAACTACGGCGCCATTCTCGGCCTTCGATGTCTTCAGTCTGCCGGATCCAGCACAACGGTGGCATTGTGCATGGCCGTCGTGGCCGATGTCATCACCTCAGCTGAGCGAGGCCAATACGTCGGCTACACCGTCGTCCCCGTCGTCCTCGCCCCAGCCATCGGCCCCATCCTCGGCGGTGTCCTTGCCCAGGAACTCGGCTGGAGGTCCATCTTCTGGTTCCTCGTCATCTTTGCGGGAGTCACTGTCGTCCTCCTGTTCATGTTCCTCCCCGAAACGTGCCGCCACATCGTCGGCGACGGCTCCATCTACCCACCGCCGCTGTACAGGTCAGGATGGCAGATGCTCACCTCTCACCGGAACAAGGACCGCGCGGCTCCCCCGCCGGAAAACACCTTCAAGTTCAAGCCGCCCAACATCCTGGGCTCTCTCATCATGCTGCTGGAGAAGGAGACCGGGCTGCTACTCGGGAGCAGTAGCCTCGTCTTTGCAGGCTTCTACTGCATCTCCGCTGCCATGCCCACCTTGTTCAAGGATTCGTATGGCTATGATGAGATCACAGTGGGCTTGATGTACCTGCCGCTGGCCATGGGCTCCGTCCTCGCTGCTCTGATTGTTGGTCCGGCCATCAACAGGAACTACAAGCGATACTGCCAGAAGCTCGACATCCCCCTCGACCGCAGCCGCCAGCAGGACCTGTCCGACTTCCCCATCGAGCGCGTCCGTCTCGAGGTCGGCCTCCCCCTGCTCTGCCTCAGCGGCCTCGCCCTCATTGGCTGGGGCTGGGCCATGAATTACGCCGTCCACGTCTCGGTGCCGTGCATCCTGAGCTGCATCATGGGCATGGGCATGATTGGCTTCAACAACACGACCAACACGCTGCTCGTCGACATCCATCCCGGAAAGGCCGGGACGGCGAGCGCGGCGAACAACTTCTCGCGGTGTCTGGTAGGCGCTGGAGCGACGGCGGCGATTGTTCCCCTGATGGACGCCATCGGGGTGGGTTGGTCGTTTACCATGCTTGGTGCTATTTACATTGTCTGTTGCTTGCCGCTGATGGTCATCATGGCAAAGGGCATCAGGTGGAGGGCTGAGAAAAAGGCCAAGCAGGAGCAGAAGCAGGAGAGGAAACAGGAGCGGAAGCAGAAGAAGGAGGAATCCAAGTGATATGAATGAGTTGAGCGTTTAATACCTATGGTGAGATGACACAGAATGATGATAGACTTGGGAGAGCTCGATACCCATACAGATAGATCTTTTACTTTGCAGAGCTGCATATCGGCGATCTAATTCGCTATGTTAATATACTCCATATAATATAAAGTCAAGTGTTTTGTATAGTACTACCACACAGCTTCAACTATCGTCTGACCCATGGTTGCTGATTGGTCCAAGGCTACAACAATTTATACCACGACACAGAAGACTATCAAGATATTCATTTGACCGCTTCGATTGCAAAGAAGGTCAGGAATGGAGAGTTGATAGAGAGTAACTCTTCTCTGTGCCCATTGAAGCCTATTGTTGCAGCAAACATTTGAGGGCTGTCCAAGACACGGCCACGAACTGGTCCAACGTCCCATCCCTCCAAAGGATGTCTTGATCGGGCAGAAACCATTGGTGTGTTGTACCGCAGGACTTTGTACACTGGGCAAGGCGAGGCTCTACGTTAGGCATCCCCGTGAAACAGCCAACCAACAGCAAAGGAAGTCTTGTGCTACAACAAAGGTCGGAGGCCACCCGCATGGAGGCATCGGGCAGGAGTGGCAGCGCCTAGAAGCGCAAGATATAACTTGATGCTATCGCAGGCTGTGAGAGATTTCCAGTCTCTGTTTCCAATTATCTCCCTATCTCACATCCTTTCAGCTTGATTTTGGTCTCACTGATCTTCATACCTAGCCGCGTGCCAGCAAAAGCTCGATACAACATTGAGATAGCTAGGCATAGGCCATGGCCGGCCTCTTCGATGCAGATGCCTACGAATGCGACGACCTTCCGGAAAGGTTCTACCGAGTAACTTATCCTGGGTCGCAAACTCGGGATGAAGACACCGGAGATTACGTTTCAGACACCACTCTCGAAATCTCTGACGATGTCGATCTGAAGGAGATCGTTGAGGACCACTTCTACTGGCGGAGAGCGCCCAGCCCTTTTATATCCGTCTTTTGTGACGAGAGGCATGCCCGTAACTGGGCCCGTAAGCGAGTGGACAAGCTCAATTGCAGCCTGGGCGACGTCTACATCAGCGAGATTGATACGGCGAAGCTTCCGGCTGGTACAACCGTGTTTGAGGCTACGCTTCTGGCCGACATGCTGGATATCTATCATCCATATTCGGAGAACGAGTATCTCGTCCTCCATCGCATTTCCTGCGTGTCTATTGTTAGCACGCGGAGCCTGGAGGAGATTGAGGCAGACGGTAGGTGGTGTTGCAGTCCAAAGTTGGAACAAGCTTCGCTGACGGACAAACAGAACTGGCGCACACGATGGCACTCTTTGGACTTAACGACCCGATCCGAATGTTTATCGATCAGGATTCAGAGTAAGCCTGCGCTGATCCAGTAGGTAAAAGAAGCACAAAGGTTTGTGAGCCTATATCTAGTGTCCTAGGGAAACTCAAGCCGTGCGGGTTATTATTCAACAAAGCTCCTACAACAAAGATCAGGACATGTATCTTAGCATGGTCGCCAGAGCTGGGCATTAGGGACGCAAGGTTTGGAGACTGGAGAGTGAACTCGAAACAGAGCTGAATAATGCATAATATAGGCATCTCGACTTGGCCATAGAGTCCTTTCATGTTGTCCTCCGTTTACCTAGCGTAGTAAGCGATTTTATAGGTTCTTCATGCTGGAGTATTAGAATCGAAGCAGTGTTTGCGGCCTGCAAGTCCTCTGTATGGAGGTCAACATTGAAAGTCTATGTTACACAATCAAGTTCAAGGGTAAAACGCAAGCTCTTGGACACAATATAGGCAAGCCCGGTGCAGCCCAAGACCTGCAGCAGCTTAACATAGACCACGTTGTGCAGATGCTGCTTACGGGATATGAGGCTCTGAGGTTTTGACAACAGAAGCTTACAAACATCTTGATCGCCATAGGATACTCTTGGCAATTTTCTAATCATCTCACTTTGATGCCCGCCTAATGGTTTAATAAATGCACTCATCTAGAACTTTCTCATTTCCTGGTGAAGGATGCCTTGGTAAGGCAGAAACCCGTATACAGCACTATAGGACTACTCACACGTAATAAGACGAGGCTCTGTGTTGGGCATCTCTGGAAGCCAGCCAACCAACGGTAAAAGAAACCCGGTGCAGGACAACAAGGCCGGCCACCCGCATGAGAAAAGCATTAGGCAGGAGTGGCAGTGCCAGCTCGTCCCATCGCGAAGCGCGGGGTACATACATGAGTATAAGTTGATGTTGTCTGCACCAGTTCAAGCTTTGAGGACATAGAATTTAGTTGCTGCGTTAAATATCCATGACAACTTCTTTTGGCTTTTTCTTGGCAACAGTTTCTCTCTGAGTAGTTGCGTACTATTATTGCGTTCATACAAGCACCCAAAAGCGATGGCCAACGACTTCAACCTGGGCAACTACGAATGCCCTTCTCCCCCGCCAATACTGTGGCATGTAACCCATAGGCAGTCTCAGTCTAAGATAGATAAAGACAAAAAAGATGTCGTCGCTGCAGACAGCAGTCGCGGAATCTCGAACAAATCGGAGCTCAAGGAAGCCTTTGAGGAGCATATTAAGTGGGAGAACAGAGAGCCCACCTGTTTAGTATCCGTCTTCTGTGATATGGAACATACTTTCCAGTGGGCCAAACTGCGGAAGGACGTTTCTATCAGTTGGATCGATACAACAAAGCTGCCGACTGGCACATGCCTATTCGATGCTACGTTTCTGTCCAAGACCTTGAATGCTCCTCACCCATTCTCAAAGGACGAACTTCTTTTCCTGCATTGCATTCCAGGCGAGTCTATCACTGACCGGCAGACCTTGGAGGAGTTTGAAGAATCATGTACGTGCGGTGTCGCGACCAATCATACCTGGGACAAGATTCACTGACCTACAAACAGGGCTGGCAAAGAGGGTCGATGATCTGCTGAACTTCACACCACGGAAAGAGATAGTAGTTCCGATAAAGAGATCGAGAAGGAAGACCGCGCAGCGGAATGATGGGCATACTTCCCCCAAGGGGTGACTACGCTCAGTATAGAAAGGGCATCATGAAGGCCCGTGAGTCCAAGCCTGTGGCGAAAGATTTTCGTGGCCATGTTGCGGACCGCAAGTTGGACTCTCATATGGCGGCATTAGAAGGTGAATGAATGTACGTTGTAGCATTGATACCTTACCCGACGTTTGACTTCCGCCTCGATTTAGTAACGTGAGGCTAGAACGTCGGTGGTCCAAGTGAGGGGAAGGGCTTGATAATAGGTGTAATGGCCGAAGAAGCCAGACGTTGAGTTATGGCATGCATCACGAAGAGGCTTTACTGTGAGCGTAGTGCGATAGAGATGTCACTTTAGTGCATAGCTAAGGCGTCATCACGTGCTTTAGGAGAGTATGTGACCTGACGAGCGTCCAATTCTCCGTGAATATGAACATCAGAATCCAATTCTGATCTCAGTCTTGTCGGAGTCAAGTTCCAGCTTTATCTCTTCCTGAGTATTTGGCCTGGGAATACTATCTGAATTTGTATCTCAGCGATTCCTCGTTGCTATGATCTGTCAGTATCACCACCGTATAGCACATGTAAGAATATGTGATAAGAAGCCCCTGCTTCTTATTGCTTCCATAAATGACTTCCACTTTTTCTTGTGATATCAACACCCAACACCCACCTACTGGTTGATGAGCTTCATGGTGCTTCCAGTCATGCGCTTACCCTGTAATCCGCAGACATTCCGTTGGCAGATAACCCCGATACAAGACTTATACAAACTCCCACTAGCATCGCAAGCCGCAACTCCACTAAACGATGCACTCAATCCACAATTTTCACACTTCACCTTCAAACCTACAATTGACCATGATATGAGAGTATCCCGCTGATTATAGTTGACTGGGCACCCAGCTGAATGTGGTGGGAATGGAAGTGGGAGCCGGGCTGATATGGACTCCTCTCTGGGCTCTATGTTACGGACTCGGCGTGCTCCTCTTGAGCATCACAACCATTGTCCTATATAGACTGCTTCTTCACCCGCTGGCACGAATCCCAGGCCCCAGACTCGCCGCTGTCTCAAACATCTGGCACGCGTATCACGCCCGCAATGGACACATGTTCGACCTGGGACGGAGGCTGCATCGGGAGTATGGCGACGTGGTGCGGGTTGGGCCCAATGAGCTCTGGTTCAACAGTACAGAGGCCTTCGACAAGATATATAGTTCGTGGAAACGGTGGCCATTTGCTTGACGTACTGCGGCTGACAAGAAAAAAAAAGGTAGCACAAAGGGCTTTGAGAAGACTGATTTCTACTGTACGTTGGATCCAGTCAAAGCATCATGGTGGTTGACTCGCTTACTGACTGATCGATGAATGGCTGCAGTGGCAACCAGCCTCAACTGGCCAAAGATAGATGCCTTCTTGCGGCCTCATTTCGCCGACGGCCTGGATCTCCTCTCTGAGCGAGACATGAAGCGTTACCGTCTCCAGAGGCGACTCATTGGACGAGTCTACCAGACGGCCAACGTGGTCAAGTTCGAGGCTGCAGTCGACGATGTTATCAAGCAGGTCATTGCACGACTGGAGGCCCTGAATGGTGCAGAAATCGACCTCAAAGAATGGATGCACATCATCGCCGTCGAGTGCCTGGGAGCGTCCGTCCTCTCATGGTCTCCGGGATTGCTCAAGGCGGGAACAGACTGGGGCTCCAGCGCGCATAGCTACCTTGGCTGGAGAAGGAAGAGCGTCATGGGACTCTTCCCGACCTTGACCAAGTTGACGCTGCGATCGAATTTATTTGAGTGGATCTTCAGGGACCTCTGGAACCTAAAGTATGTTGCTCCGCCTGGATTTCGAACATTCTTTCCGGTCAGTTGCATTCCCATCGCATACCATACCCCTGAGTCGCTGTAGGTTCTGTTGCTCATCTGGACAATAGGACGTTGCGAAGCGCATCTCTCGAAGGATCAAGTCTGCCCTGAAGCCAAACGCCCCCAAAGACAGTCGGGCAGATCTACTGGCGGACCTGATCCAGCTTCACAAGGACAAGCCTGACTTCACAGAGAACTATCTCAGGAAAATGGCCATGACCAACTTTGGCGCAGGGCATGAGACCATGGCATCAACTCTGACATCCATCTTCACCATGGTCGGCACCCACGACGAGGTGCAGAGGAGAGTGAGACGAGAGATTCGGAGCGCCACAGATGCCTCCTCATATGCAGGTACACTTCAACTGCAATATATGCGTGCGGCGGCAAGAGAAGCGATGCGCCTCCATCCGGTCCTCAGCATGTCGCTTCCTCGTCGGGTCCCTGACGCGGGCGCACAAATTCACGGCCACTTCATCCCGGGAGGCACGACAGTTGGGTGCAACCCCGTGGCGTTGCATCGAAACGCAGACATCGTGACGGGACCCGATCCAGACGCCTACGACCCGGATCGCTGGCTCGGTGGCGAGTCTTCGGATACGCGCCTCATGGAGCGATACAGCCTCAACTGGGGCGGCGGACCAAGGACTTGTCCGGGGAAGAACTTGGCCGAGATGGTCGTTTACAAAGTCGTATCAGCCCTATTCGAGCGGTTCGATGTGGAGGTGACTGTACCGCAGAAAGTTGGGCAACCGTCCTATTTCCTGTCAATGATCACGGGGGTCAAGGCCCGGTTCTTGTCTGTCGATCCACAGGCGGCGGGGAAAGGCGGCATCTAGTGAGAGCTCAATGATACATACATACTAGTAGTCCAGCATGTGTTGATGATGGAAAGGTGTGAAGTGCAAGTGGGAGCGACCTGTAGCGTTGCGTCTCCGTCGATGTACATGGTTTGGCCTAGCAGAGGACGTTGATACCAGGTTGATCTGCTAGGTATGTACAAGTAAGGCTGCAGTTATCTCTTGGCATCGAACTGGAAGCCGGGGCAGGTTATCGGCTTCTCGTGGTAGAACCCACCGAGAATGCAGCGGAAAAGGGAGTGCAAGACGTCAGAATGCAGCATCTCGACCTGTAAGGATGGCACACCTCAGAATGAAAACCCGCTTCAGCAGAGCTGGGCTGCTGCTCTGCTCCTGATGATTAGTCGTGGCCCAGACATGCATGCCGCCAATACCCACTCGTATGCCAAAGAGAAAGGAGGGCGTCCATTGTCGAAACTTTGGTGGCTATCGGTCGTTTCAACAAGTTGCATTGATACGCCATCATTTTACATTCTCCGGACCAATTTCATGCTGCTTTTCTGCGTTGATGCTAGTAATGTATCTGCTTGGGCGCTAATGTCGTGAGGGAGTGGTCCCGTTGCAACTCCATCACATTTGACAAGAGGCTCACCTCCAAATGCCAAGGAGTCGGTGGTGGAGCTGGCGAGGTTTGCTAACGGAGATGGCAACCAACAGGGAAAAGCGTGAATTGAGTGAGTTGAAGCCTCGTGTAGAGTACGGAGCAGGATTCAAACGAACCTGATGGCGACTTGTTGGTCGACTTGAGATCCAGACAAGCAGATAATAGAAAGCCGGTGACAGGGTGGCTTCAGCCACAATCAAACTTTTCCCCTCGCCATGGCCTCTTTGAATTGCGAAAGGGTGTGTGCTCGCCTTTCCAGCCTCTGTCAATGGCCAGATCTCGACAATGGGGCGAAAATCGAATGTTCGGCGAAGCGCCATCTCCGATGGCTCGCCTCGCTCTTCGGGGACGTCTCGTGGAAAAAAGAGACGGCGTTGGCGTAGAATCATCCAGCAGCTCTGGACCGGACTGTTTCCCATCCAAGCCAAGGATGCGCCATCCCCGCTTCCTCGTGCCCCCCGGACATGTCTAGAAATGTTATCGAACCCTTCCATTCGTGGCGTTATTAGAGGATAACAAATGGCCGAGAGACTTGGCCGGAAGCAGCTGAGCAACCTGGTCAGCCTCCCCCTTCATCAACCCACCCAGATAACCAGTCCATTCTGCAATGGCCTGGAGCGGAAAGGCGTGCGCGGGCTGATATTATTCTTACCTACGAAGTACTGGGAATGGGTGCTTCGTAATACCTCGTCGTGCGTATTCCGAGGGGGATGGATGATGGCTAATGAGCAGTACGTATTGCCACAGATCAAGGCGGATTCCGCCAAGTGATAAAGCATTCGTCCGGGACCAATGAGCAGCGATGCAATTCATGCCCAAAGTCTTCCATACTCTTGATAAGGCAGGACGGCGATGCGCCCACCAGGGTGGAATATCTGACGATGCTTGGCCTTCACGACGAAAAGAGATGGCCTTTGCTTAGTTAGGTGGAAGAACACGGCTGATGGTGTCCCAAAAGGTCGCCCTTGTCACCTTGTCGTTCATCCCAGCCGCGGAATCGATTCCTCGTGGAGCAAAATCCAACAGTTGATCCATCGTAAGCCGTCCTTGGCCGTGGGTTGACACGCTAGCCGGATAGCCTTTCACCTCTGCCTCTGGAGAAGGAGTTTGCGAACGCTCACCGGTGACAATCTCGTGAAGTCATCATCGTGGCTGATTGCTCAAACAAACACGAGCTCTGGCCCGTCTGGGGTAATCTGGAATTCCTGACCGGCGCATCGACGTCAAAATCAAGGGACTGGACGAAGCTCGGCCTCTCCCCAGATTTTCCCCAATATCTTGACTAACAGATTGCTCTTCACCCCATCGCGACGTTGAATCCGAGCGTGCGCATTACGAGATGTTTTTGAAGGCAGTGGCAATTGGCCCACTCAACCCCGTATGATTCTGAGATGGACATGTGCAACGAAGATGCCAAAGGGGCGGAGGGACTGTCACCACTAGACGCCGGTGGGTCTTGGACAGCCGATAGGGTTGCATCCATCGGTTGGGAGAGGCCCAAGTCGCGCGTCCCTCATGGCATTGATGAAGTTGAAGCCGCGGTAGAGGCGATCGCGATGAGGAGCGATCCTGTACGTCAAGGCGGAACGAAGGACAAGCAATCGCAGAATCGCCTTGGCGAAGGACTTTTGCGCAAGCCACATGGACATGGCTTCCCGCCGTCCAGCGTTAGCAGAGCTTGGCCAGCCGCCATGCAGAGGGACAAGTCTGCCGACCACACCGTTGCCCTAGCCTGACCACTCCGAGAGGCATGGATGGGATCACCAGGATATGGTTCCCTCATCGGGCTGCACTCCGTGCACGCCACCCGCACTTTGGGCTTGGGCCAACGGCACATGCCTGTCGAGGCGTTCCAGGAACGAAAGCGCGCAGCCCGGCATCAAACGTTGCTTCGGATCCTATCTGCTTCGTCGACTGACTCTTGCTGGCTGCGCTCTTGCACAGGCCCGAATTGCGTGCTTTCGGCGGCTACCGGGGTCCAGACCAACGGGACCCCTGGAATGCTGATACGGCTGCTAGCAGTACGGATATTCATGACGATTAAGGCCGTGTCGCTCATCAGTGTCCATGTAATACTAGCTCGCCTCAAGGTCGCTGTGCGTATTACTATGGAGCAGCAATTGCTAACGAAGTAACCTTGAGCATTTGAGCTTTACGCTTGAAATTAGAGAGCGACGGGGGGGGGGGGGGGCTCTGGTATCTGTGGAGGTCGCATGTCTCCCCTGCAAGCCGCAAGCTTAAAGGAGATAACGGCGATGCCATTGGATGCCGCCATGCCGCAGAGAGGGTCGAAGGGATTCAAGGGGACTTTTGCAGAGTGGCGCCCGTGCGTGGGTTGGACCGAGAGGGACGCTCACCATGCCTGGACCAGCCTAGGGTGACATGCCCTCCTTGCTGACGGTGGATGCTTGGTGGTCTTTGCTGCCATCGCCGGACCCGGCCGAGAGAGAGGAGAGAAGAAGCATAACAAGCTTAAGGTTGTGGTTACACGGAGAATATCGAACGTCGAACATCGTGTGGAATGCAACCTCTGGCTGGCGAGGCAAACAGGGCGGCCGCGCGCAGTCGATCTGGTGTCTTGCCTGCGTTTGTGTCAGCGATGATGCAGTCGTCAGGCAACGGATTGTTTGATCTTGGCGACGCAGACCAGCAAACCAGATGGCGATACACCGGCTTGGCCAATATCTGTGTCATCGCTTAGACGCCAAGCAGGCTATCTTTTGTCGCCCCGCCGCCATCACAAGGCTTGTCGCGTGCTTCCGAGCGTGGACGAAGACTTCGATGGTATCGTCCATATTACTAGCAGCCGCTGCTAGGCTTGTGCGCCAGCTCGCCGGATCGTTTCGGCGTCCGGCGAGGGAGCCGTGCTGGGCAGCTCATGCGACTCCCACTGCGTTGAGTGCAGCTGTGAAGCACGTAGGATAGCGGGTTGGCCGTAGTCTGAGGCGTAGCACCGCGATCCAGGCCCTCGGTGAGCATGATGCAATTTCCAGCGATGCGCCAAAGTGCCGACGGCGAAGCATGTGAGCCCGTCTAAAGTAACCGAGGAGGAGGGACAGGCAAACAGGTTACTAACAGGCAAGCCCTTGTTGGATGGCAACAGAGATGGTGGTGCAGGCATTGTAGTATGTACGGCTATCGCTGCATCGTGATTGTGAGTGTGGAGGGGAAGAGGACGATCCATGGTATGGAGAGGTGTTCTATGGGAGGTCCATTTCCTAGCAATCAGTACCTAGGAAGGTACGAGCCTGGCCACCTGCCGAGAGGCTTCCATCAATCGCTCAGTGGTGATGTCCCCCAGCTGGCAGGCGGTCAGAGCACTGAAGATTAGCGGCCAGGAGCCTCGTGCAGCCTCTCTCTCTCTCCCCCCCCATCCCACGCCTCGTCTCCTCCTTGCTATCAATCTGGCGCCTCGCCACCTCCACTCTGGAACCATCTCTTGCGTGCTGGCCCCGGCACTGGTCCGGGATCTTTTGTCTAGTTGCCACCGCCTTGCCCTGAAGCAGTATCGCGCTCCGGCGGCTGCTTGTCTTGGCCCGAGGCGCCTGGTGGTGTGCCTGTCGGGCTGCTCTAGCACCAAACGGGCAGCAGAGCCAGAAACCTCGCCCTTCGCCTCCACGCGAGAGACTTGCAGCGCCGTCTGGCACCAACACTCGCAGCGATACGGGACGAACAAGGACAAGGCCGAGACAGCAGCACATGGTTGTCCGTGATTTGGGTTGCGCGGGCTTGGGGGAGGGGGTCCTGGGGGTACCTTTTCCGCAGCCGGCTAATCGAAATCCCCCGTTTTGACTCAGACGCTTCCCTCCATCGTCATACCAAGGACATGTATATAAGTCGACCTCTCGGCCGCATACAGAAGGCTTCTTTCTTTTCCTCCTCCTTGTGCTGCGAAGCCCATCCCATTCCTGCCCACTCCATTCTGCTGGGTCGTCAACTCGAGCTCTTCTCAGAAGCTCAGAGCATCAGTCCACCATGAGCAACGCTGCCAACCTCGACGTGGACGTCATTGCCGAGGCGGACCACCGCGCCGCCGGCTTTGACGAGAAGCCCACGACCGCCGTCGACGTCCGAAGCGACGAGGACTACGATGACTTCCCTACCGAGGAGGAGCTGCGCACCCTGCGCCGTGTCTCGGGAAAGATCAAGTGGGCCATGTACACCATTGCCTTTGTTGAGCTTTGCGAGCGTTTCTCATACTACGGCTCCTCCGTCCTCTACACAAACTTTGTGAACCGGCCTCTGCCGCCTGGCTCGACCACCGGCTCCGACCCCGATGGCGGCCACCCCGGTGCCCTGGGAATGGGCCCCAAGGCTGCCCAGGGCATCAGCTTGTTCAACCAGTTCTTCGCCTACATCATGCCTCTCGTCGGGT